AAAATGTAGGAGGCATGTGGAGTAATGGATAGCAGCTTGAACTGAGGAATTGGAGAGCCGAGTTTGAATTCCATTCAAATTTGTTACATTCACTTATGTACTAATACCCTTGGGAAAGGTGTGAATCCTCTTCTTCTCTCCCCAGCTATGGGTAAGTAGCAGGACAGACCGGGTTCTATAGCCTTGGATGGCAACTGGTCTACCACAGAAAGAAATGACAACCTACTGTGGGGGAAAAAAAAACTGCCTCGTCAGTCATGTATCAAAAGATACATGATTGCCTAAGCATGTATCACACATGGCACATAACTGACTGACAAACAAAAGATCCTTTGTAGATTGGATGGTAGGATATTTTGGAACATAGGTAGCTCGTCTTTTGGACAGTTATGATATCCCTACTGAATGGATAATAATTTAATTAGAATTTAATTATTAATTAATGGAGAAAGATAAAAATTACACAGCATTTAAGACATATAGAAAATTATTAATCTACAAAGTTAAGTTATTAAGCTGAGCATTGTTTTTATTTATTTATACCTGGCATGTGGATGTAGTAGTAGATATAAAATATTTATTTTTGTCTACTGGTTTGAATATTCAAGAAATTTTATTAAAGAAAAAAATGTGCCTTCTGTCAGGATTCAAACCTATGTCCTCCTGAGCATGAAAAACTGTCATTAGAGCCAACATGCCTTGTCCAAGAAGGGTCTTGGCAATCAAGCAAAGCCGAATTCTGCCTTTAAGCACAAATTTCTTCAAAGATTCTTGAAACATTTATATTTGCTCAGTTTCATATCCTGACATAAACAAAGCGATTTCTAAAGAGGTTTTTATTTATTATTCTGACAGATTCTATCACTTAAATATTATTTTTAGTGGATACCCATATTTGAGTAGATGCTTTATTTATTAAACAGTATATTTATTTATTTTTCATTTATCTGCCTAAATATCTGAGAAATCTTATTAAGATGCACCCTCCGGCAGGATTCAAACCTGTGTCCCCATTGAAGAAGAAACTGTTGTTAAATCCAACATGCTTTAGACCAACTTTAGACCACAAAGGGTTTTGCTGATTGAGCAAAGCTGAATAGTGCCTTTAAATGCAAATTTCTTCAGAATCTTTAAAGAAATTTGTTTTTCCATCATAGCAAAACTGTCAACTGACACACCTCAGAAAAGAAAGGAGCCCGAAAAGTGGATTGCAACATTAAAATTTACTAAATGCGTGCACTCACAATTAAAGAAGGTCACATCAAATGCCAAGTCTTTTTTGTTATTTTTCATCTTAGCTGGTTAGTCAGTCAGCAACTCGTATCAGCTGACCAAGTGCAAAACTTAGTTTTACTGTTTAGTTCATAAAATGAACTAAGGTTTCATACTCACTTTTCAACAGATGAATAAAATTTCATCTTGACTATATATATATATATATATATATATATATATATATATATATATAGAGAGAGAGAGAGAGAGAGATCTAAAATAAATATATCTTCATTGCATTTCACATGCATTTGTTTGTTATTGCCAACCTCCTACTTCAGGTTCTAACAGCAGCAAGTCTAACAATATTGAAAGAGAACTGTCACTACCACATGCTACAAATCCATCATGAAGCCAAACTGCTGGATACTAAAGCAAGAACTCTATATGCAACATACAACATAGTTTTTCTTCTTTTTTTATAATGATGTTCACCCTGTACAAGGTCAGAGGCCCACTTGAGGTTGAGGGTTACAGAGTAAGAGGCACAGCTTATGCGGGGAAGATAATGGTTACCCCTAGACTTGAACAGGTAAATATTGTAGTGATTGAGGAAGCAACCTCTTGGGAGTCAGTTTCATTGGAAGAAGCTGCTTGAGTGGAATTTACATCTCACCAAGGGAATATGAAGGGAATGAGGATGGTTCGCTACAATGTGTGTGACATAGTGGGTCTTAAGCATGAAGGTTAAGATTGATGGAACTAAGGAGTATAGTTCATCTGAATACATTCCATGGAAATAGCAATAGAGCAATGCGAGCCTAGTGAATATCGTGAGGAAATCATATAATGAAAAACAAGTTTTTTAATTTTATATCTTGATATTTTAATACATAAATATGAACAAGACAGCCAGATAAAGTTATATGCATATAAAGTTTTCCTATATATATACTTATTTTCTTGAAAAGGTGCATGCTAAGAAATATTATATGCCTTCTCTCCAACACTGAAAAGGAAAGCTAGTGGATGTGACAAAATCTGTTTTTACTCAAAGGTCCAGCATGCTATATTGCCAAAGATTGTAAATAAAGTGTATATAATGTTTTTATATATATACACCAATAAACATAGTTTAATATCTCCTAAAGATAAAAGTGTTATATATATAATTAGGATCATATCCACCACCGAAGTACTGATCTGTGAGACTAGCTTGTTGATTATTGCTCCAAGGTCATTTCAGTTTTACTGCATTTGTATATCTACTCTGTAAGACAGCAAACTTTGTTGTGTCACCAAATACATTTTGAATGACCTTGGTAGTGTTATACACTGCTTCAAACTAGATCTCTTTCTGATTCACTCTGCATCAAAACATGTTGACTGGATGGAAATGCTAAGAAAGCAAAGATAAAAACAAAAAAAAAGTTACTCTCTGTGTTTGTTGAAACTTGACTAATGCATGGAATAATAATACAACACAAAATGTACTTAGAACAAAATGTATTGAAACAAGAAAAGTGTACACAATATTTACATAGAGTCTTTTGTATATTCTTGGGAAGATCGTTCCTGGAGAATGTGTTGACTTAGTCGCAGTCGGACAGAGTCTCTGGATTGAATCTCTTGATTCCTCCCCCCGTCTTCCTGGTACCAACCATATTTATATGGTCGGTACTCCACTATGCAAATTAGGTGGATCCTACCACAACAGGTTCTAATCACGAATGCTGCTGCTAAATCAAAAGGCATAGCAAAAACACTGATTCATGATCCACCAACTGACGGAGTCAGTGTTGAGCGGGCAAATTATGAATGTCTCCACCAGTATCCCCAGTCACCCAACCCCACACATGCATCAATACCAGGTCCTAATGAATCTACCCTTCCTCTAAGTTGCTTCCCTTATCCACAAGGAGACATTCTGCCTTGATGCTCTATATCAGCAATGCAAAGAATTTTATCTTAACAAATCTTCTCTTCTTTCAGTGGTACTTGTTTTGTTTGTTCTCTCGTGCTACCATGTACATGTTTATAATGGTAGCATCTGGCCATAGAAAGCAGATAATTACTCAAACATAATTTTTAAAAAATAAAGATTGCTAGGGAGACATCAGAAGAATGTAAATTAAATTTTTATTTTCTTGAAAAGGAGCATATATAGAAATATAGTAAAATAAGTTACATGCCTTCTCTTCAACACTGAAAAGAAAAGCTAGTGGATGTTACAAAATCTGTTTGCACAATTGCTGAGGCACATCCTGTCATAGTCATATCTACCAGAAGACAGTGTTTTTGTACAGACTGGATTGGCAATTAAAGGTCACACATTTTGCCCAACAAATAAGTAATGCACCTCAATTAGTATGTACTATGCATACTAATTGAAGAAGAAGAAACAAAGCTATTCTGACACAGATATGAACTTTTCTTTTATGAATAACCAACAATAATTAATATAATTCTAATGGTGTCTTTCTCGATTCAGTTTTATTATGAAAAAGAAATGAGAGGTACAAAAACATGATGGATTTATGAGCAAGTCTCAACTAGCTCCTTTCTCACAAGAAAACATATCAATAATTGATTGACATACTAAAATTTTTGTTTCAGTTTCTATTATATATATTTTTTTTTAAAAAAAAGCATTTTTAGAAAAGTTTTCAATTCAATGAAAACAATCTTTATATATAAATGATGGGAAATGTGTTATTTTTTCTTTTTCAAGTAAAACAATAAAAGCCACAAAGATGCAAGGGGATACTGAGAGTGAAATGAACAAAGTGGACAATAAAAGAAAAGGGTTCAAGGAGACAGAAGATGACATTTGACATTGCATTTAAATTTTTGAAGATTTTAGTTGACAGGAAAGTAGGAAGCTGGAAGAGAGTTCCGCAAGTAAGAAGTACAAGAGAAAAAAACTATTAACAAAGAATATTTGGTTAAAACTAACAATTTCAACAGTGAATATGATATATGGCTGCCAATCAAGTACTGCCCTTAGATTCATAAAGTCAGGGTATCAAAGAGGAAAGCGCATCAAAACAATTATCATGAAAATATTTATAGAAAAGGTGAATGGAAGCTACATTAGAGCAGTGGGAAAGTGACTAAAGCTGAGATACCAGGTTAGGATTAATAACATTGCAGATTTTTCTTTGAATTTTGTCAAGAATCTCCAGATGTATGGTAGAAATACCCGGGCAGATGTGGCAGCAGTCTTCAAAGCAAGGACAAATATTAGACTTACAAAACTGCAAGATAGGTTTCAGAAAAAAAAAACTGTCTAGTACGACACAGTGAACCAAATTTCCTAGCAGTAGGCTTAGCAATTGATTCAATATAATCTTTCCACTTCATGTCTCGGAAAATGTGAAATCAAGAAGGTGCAATGAGTTGCTCTCCTGGAGGTTAGCATTAGCCATGCTGATGGAAGGTAAAAAAAAAAGATTGTTAAGATAATTAATAGAAAGCAGTTTCATTTTGGAAGTATATAATTAACAAATTATTGTAATGTTGTATTGTAATCATTCAAAAAAATATGCTGTCAAAAATAAGGAGTGTTGATTTTAACACTTTGGCTGTTCTAATATTGAAGATAAGGATAAAATGTAAATATTTATCATTAGAATAGACAATAGTGTTTAGGGAAAGACAAAATCTGATGTAAGAAATAAAATTGATTTTACTTCATGGATTATACAATTTATACCATTATGTTTTGGTTAAAAGTTCTTTATATTCAGGAGTAAGAGAGCCAACGATTCTTCAGCTGGATGAGTCTAAGACATAGATACCAATTGGTTCTCAGTAGAACTGCTTGGAGTCACTTGTTGCCAACCTGGCATCTTCTTCTTCCAGAAATCATTAACCTGGGCATGAATTCCTTGATTTTCTTCACGCCATTCACGCTGCCATTGTCGTAATTCCTGAATTTCTTTTAATCGACGAACCTGTCAAAAAGGCTGAAGTTAATGAAGACATTTTTCAAATTTGTCTCTTCTAAAAAGAAGCAAAAAATTTCTGCTGGTCTTGTCAAAACTCCAGGCAATAAACACTAAACTCTTTTGATTTCATTACAGATTTATATACATATGCAAATCTAGAAATATGCACATCGACATAAAATTGGAAATTTCTATGGTAATGGAATACAAGGTGGAATTTTGACTGAAGCTACTGCTTTGTTCCAAATTTCTGCAACTGAACAGGTTTGCATATACATACCTTTTCCAGTTCATTCCAATTCACACAAAATATATATATCTTTAGGAGGCACGGTAGAGTAATAGATAGCGGCTTGGATTGAGGAATCGGAGAGCTGAGTTTGAATTCCAGATGAATCCATTACATTAACTTATGGGCCTTGGGAAAGGTATGAAACTTCTTCTTCTCCCTCCAGCTATGGGTAAATAGAAGGATAGACTGGGTTCTATATATATAATATGTATGTGTATATATAATGTGTATGTGTGTGTGTATATATATATGTATGTGTGTATATGTGTGTGCATATATATATATATATATATATATATATATACTTGACTCTCCTGTCAATTTGAAGCATGAGGGTCAAGCAGATCAGTTCCTAGGAACTGACAACCCAACACCAACACATGGGGGACTTGATTATAGTGTTAAAGGTTTTGCGCAGAACCATCTACACTTTGTGAAGGGCCGAATACAAAGACCTGATGCACTATATTCCACAAGTTTCCCAAAACGACCCTCCACAGGTTTTGAATTCAGATTTGTCCTTCTTCTAGACCTGTTGCCATCCAAGGCTATAGAACCCAGTCTGTAACTTCTGTTTACCCATAGCTGGAGGGAGAAGAAGAAGTTTCATACCTTTCCCAAGGCCCATAAGTTAATGTAATGGATTCATCTGGAATTCAAACTCAGCTCTCCGATTCCTCAATCCAAGCCACTATCTATTACTCTACCATGCCTTCTAAATATATATATATTTTGTGTGAATTGGAATGAACTGGAAAAGGTATGTATATGCAAACCTGTTCAGTTACAGAAATTAGGAACAAAGCAGTAGCTTCAAGCAAAATTCCACCTTGTATTCCATTACCATATATATATATATATATATATATATATATATATATACACACACACATAAATTTATATAAGGTGCGATGAGTAAATTGTCGCGATTTTATATTTTTAATTTTACACATGCATGTTTGTTTTTGATTTTATCGACTGCACAGTATAGTAGAGTCAGTTAGGTACCATTTGTGAGATAACTGCACCATGATGCAATTCACTCCACCAGAAATTTGGAAATGGCATGCTGTACTGTTTGGCATTCATGTTGGAATCTCCAATACAAACATTTCAGATTGTTTGGGTGTCAATCTGATGACAGTGCAGAGGATTCAGAAAGAATTGGATGAGTCTCATAGTGATTATCGTGTTTAGAATGATCACTAATGATGGTGACAATATGCCTCCATTCATTTTCCCACAGGGCCTCAGACTCAACATGGAGGCCTACATCAAGTGCCTTGAAGATGTAGTGCTGCCCTGGGTCAAGAGGGTAGCTGCAGAAAGACCCTATCTCTTTGCAACAGGACTCTGCACCATGCCACACAAGTAGGAGAACCCAGTCATGGCTGTCAGATAATTTCTATGACCACATCACTCCTTACATCTGGCTACCTAACTCCCCAGACTGCAACCCCGTTGATTATTATGTGCAGAGTGCAGTTGAGTGAGAAACCCAAAAACTTTGTTTACCACAAAAGATGAACTAAAAGCAAGGATTATGGCAGCATTCACCAACTTAAACAAGGAAACTGTCTAGAAGAGATGCAGGCGATTCCGAAGTTGTCTAGAGGCTGTAATTGAAGCCAATGGTGATTTTGTTGAATAAATTCTTTAGTATTTCCAGATATTTTGTGCAATTTTGGTAAATTTATCTTTTAAAATGAGATGTCATTGTTATTTTCACATTTTGCATCATTTATACGACAATTTATCCATCGCACTTGTAATATATATATATATATATATATATATATATATATATATAAAGAACAGTCAGTTATATGCCATGCATGATACTGCCTCATAAGTCGTGTATCTTTCGATACATGACTGATGAGTCAGCATCACACATGACTGTTATCACACATGACTGACGAGGCAGATTTTTTCCAGCAGTAGGTTGCCATTTCTTTCTGCAGTAGACCAGTTGCCATCGAAAGCTAAAGAACCCAGTCTGTCTTGCTATTTACCCATAACTGGGGGTAGAAGAAGAGGATTCATACCTTTCCCAAGGGTATTAGCACGTAAGTAAATGTAATGGATTCGACTGGAATTCAAACTCGGCTCTCCAATTCCTCAATCCGAGCTGCTATCCATTACTCCTCGTATATAAGATAACAATATATAAAACTGGTCACTGATGTCAACGCAAACACTGACAGTTTCATGCTTGAACACAATCTTCGGGTCATGTGTTTCGTGTGTTGACTTGACTATATATGCTGGTCAATGGTGCATTATGGTAGCAATTATGGGTTGATCTGTGGTGACACCAGTGTGTACTGGGCTCCCTCTAAATATATCAAAGTAAGTTTTTTTACTCTGTGTTACATCAGAACATCAGAAGAGCTAGATGCCTCAGATGGTTGATCTAGAAGGTGACCTCATAGCTGTCTCAAAGGATGCCAGAACAGTCAGTACATCTGAACTTAAGATATACACACACAAGACACTGGAACTATAGGAAGTTATATAAATGCCTAACTCATGAGGAGAGGAAGGAGAGTCCTTCACATCCTCACAAGATCAAATGTTTGAAATAACTGAAACTACACACTCTCCATAGCCGATGTCAATTTGATAAAGTTAAGAGAATAAACAATTATTTTACATAAGATTTGGTCAACATGGACCTTCATGCCCACAATAAGACAGAGCATCAAAAGGACAGTTTTTCCTTTTTTTAACAACATTCACTCTTCGGCAATGTTTATCGTTTTAAAAGTAATGATTAGAATTGTAATAAAACCTAAACATATGAAAGCAAATTTATACATTTTCTTTGTTCTTGAGAATTTATCTTGCTAAATGAAAAACATGTTATGACTGTTGAATAGTCTGTTCTTGGTGTATGAGGTAAGTAAAAAACTAAAGGGAATAAGAGAAATTCCTTACAAGATATCCCCGCCAGAATGACTGAATGACCACAGCAGCTTCATCTTCTGTCCACAGCAAAGACTTTGGTAATGGTGGCCTAGGGCTAAAGATCAAAAGAAAACAAGTCAAAATGGTGGCCTAGGGCTAAAGTTCAAAAGAAAACAAGTCAAAATGGTGGCCATGGGCTAAAGATCAAAAAGAAAACAAGTCAAAATGGTGGCCTAGGGCTAAAGATCAAAAGAAAACAAGTCAAAATGGTGGCCTAGGGCTAAAGATCAAAAGAAAACAAGTCAAAATGGTGGCCTAGGGCTAAAGATCAAAAGAAAACAAGTCAAAATGTTGTAAGACCTTGGAATGTAAAATCTTCATCATTTCTGTGAATTAAAAGTTAGGATTTCAGGAAGCTAATTACAAACAAAAGTGACTGTTTTGCCATTTGTTATAAACTTTAATATTCTATTTTATTTTTTTAATCATTTCACCCCAAGTAAGGTAATAAAGCCACTAAGACACAAGGAGTTAATGAATGTTAGAGAATATGAGAAAAAAAAAGCACTATTAAGAAGAGAAGAGAATAAGAATTAAGAAGACAGTAGATAATGATTGATATTGCATTTAAATTTTTGAAGATCAAAGTTAACTGGGAAGCAAGAAGCCAGAAAAATGACTCATTGGATCTCTGATTAAAAATTCTGAGATATTATCCATTACACCAGCCATACATCCGAGCTTACAGTACCTGGCATTCTGAAACAGCCACTCATTTAGGTACTCTGACCAGATTCAATGTTTATTTAGGTACTCTGACCAGATTCAATGTTTATTTTACTCTTGACCAGATTCAATGGTACTCTGACCAGATTCAATGTTTATTTAGGTACTCTGACCAGATTCAATGTTTATTTAGGTACTCTGACCAGATTCAATGTTTATTTAGGTTGACCAGATTCAATGGTACTCTGACCAGATTCAATGTTTATTTAGGTACTCTGACCAGATTCAATGTTTATTTAGGTACTCTGACCAGATTCAATGTTTATTTAGGTACTCTGACCAGATTCAATGTTTATTTAGGTACTCTGACCAGATTCAATGTTTATTTAGGTACTCTGACCAGATTCAATGTTGCAAAATAAGCCACAGATGCTTTGATTTATAAAATAAGAAAAAAAATGTCCAGAAAGCTTTCTACAAAAGATTTGTTTTATGTTTGGTATGCAACCTGGTTGTATGTTCAACAAAAGATGGCAAATTTTTCTTTTGGTAGCCAATACAAAGCCAAGAGGGTTACTAAATGAGGTTGTCATAAAAAAAAACTACATTAAACAATACCTTCACCACAAAGGAATGGAATTTTAAAATGTGTTTAAAAATTTAGTAATATCTTCATCTTCAGATTGAAGCTGAGATACCTGGTCAGGACCAATAACATTGCAGATTCTTCTTTGGATTTTATCAAGAATATCTAAATATATAACAGGAATACCAGAACAGATGTGGCAGCAATATTGAAAAACCTAAACTTTATGAATTTAAGTGCAGTACGAGATTGGCAGAAAGATCTCATCATTCAACAGTTGAAGTGGCTAGGAGTAAGTTCTACGCTAAGTGTCTTCTTTCACACTTCTTGCTTATGGAACTCTTTGTGTCATGGACACTACCTCAAACGATCAGGGATTATGTTTCATTCAGGTTTACGCACCCAACAACTCCAGGGAGTGGGCCACTTTTCTTCAGTGGATTGATCCATTTCTTGTCTTCTGAGGCAACAAATATGTCCACTGAATTGCAAGCTGAAGAAGTTCAAAGTATTTTGGATGATGCAACAGGAGTCGTATGGAGGTGAGAAGTTTTTCTCTTCTCAACTAATTTTGTTCTTTAAACACCAGCTTAAAGTCAAAATTAGAGAGAAAAGGAGGCGACTCTCCTCATTTAAATTTGGCAAAAGGTGGTTGAGTGTTTCACATTTGGTTCACTTGAGAGGGGATAATTTAGAGTGGAATGAGATGTTGACAGACAGAGGCTGGTCAAGAATGCAGCAGCCATACTGAATGCGATACTATCACTTTCAAATTTCATCCTTCAAGGACGATGTCTTCACAAAACATCAGCCGACAGCCACCAACATTCTTTCTCTTTCTTTCTCTCCCACTCTGTTGCCTTTTACAACAGCAACAGGTAGTATGATGGCTTTGTATATATGTAAATAAATTATACATTTATTTACCCAAAATACGATGTATTCCTTTTCCTCAAATTTATGTTTGCTGAGGCAAAGAAGAAATTAACCTCTTCAGCAGTAACAACAACAGCGACAAGTTCTGCCTTCCAGGTTACTCATTCTTTGTTTACGCAACATCATCAGCCCTTTTATTTTTTGCTCCCTATTTTTTTCTTTGGTTTATTCTTCTTCCCATTAAGGTAACAGAGATGGCAGTTGTCTCGTAAACTGTGCGATGTCTTTCGTTTTAGAGTGTGAGTTTTCCTAATTGTTATTGTATCTAAATGTGTAAGTACTAGTGATGGTAGAACAAGTGCATGGAAATCATTTTATTAATCTCACAGTATTTTTTGCATCCAGTTAACTGTTATCTCTGTCATGACTGTGGAGGTGCATGTTACTAACACTAGTTTTATTTAGTTGTGTAGATAGTTTTTACATCATGAACATTGGAGATATATATTTTTAGATTTTTATCAACCCAGATTTCCACAAAGAATGTATGAAGAATTGGATCAGTAAGTAAAGCTAAATTAACAATAAGACAAGTGAAGACCAGCCTCCCCACATCCCAATTTTGCCCATGTGGCTTATTTGTATTTTTGTACAATAGACACCAGAAGTAAACAAGTAGAGAGTTAGAGATCTAGTTTATCTGCCTATTATCTCTTTTAGCAAGACTATGTTGATTCCAAATGACAAAAAACTGAACACAATATTCTACAGCAGATTTTTAACTAGAATTGCCAAACTTTTATTTTTCCATCTCATTTTTACAGGTGATGAAAAATTGGTTTTGCATGTCAATAGAAAATGAAAAACAGTGGTTATCATAAAATGAGAAACCAGCAACAACACCAGAACCAGGATTCCATCCACAGGAATCCTTGCTATTGCAATGCCTTAATAAACGTATTATCAGCAGCAGCATGGAGGGTACAAAAATAGGCGAACCATTAAATAAATTGCATTTTCCCTCCTTTCGAAGTGGGTGCCATCAACTTTTCCAACTGAAGTAAAAAAGGGTTGTGGATACTTCACACACAAACAGACCTACACAGGCAAGTCACACTCAAGTACATTCATTAACAATTTTCTTTGTGTATTCCATATATTTCTAGGTAAAGAAACTCATAAAAACTTTCGTTATTTTTTTTTAAATAAATGTTATCTTTTATTACAAACCAATTAGTCTCTGTTATTTTGTGCATATACCTTTTCAACATCATTATCGTGTGTAAAATTTTCTCGTTACGATCTTATACATTAATTATAGAAGTAACCAACACACTAAACTATGTGTCTGGTGGAATATGGAAGGTGACATATTGTTATAGGACCTTACCCATAATAACATAATGGAACTATTCCATACATAATAAATACTGTGCCTCAAGAGGAAGCAGAGAGTTCAGTCTGAAGTTGAGCAACCGGCTGATCGGTTGAACTCTCTGCCTTCGGGCGGGGAGGAACCCAAACGGGGCTACGCCGAAGGGCGGAGTCTCTTTCAGGGAGGTAAACCGACCCTGAACCCGCTTATACAGGTTCAAAGGGCATATTTTTGGCCGAGCCCACGGGTTCGGATATCCCACGTTAAACCAGCCTTGTGGGGGGGGTGACTAAATACCGTCTGAAGTCTGAAGTGAGGTCCGTCAGAAGTCTGTCAGGGGTCTGTCAGTCAGTCAGTCGAGTCAGAGGCAGTCCGAAACAGAGTCGCATTCAGACAATTACTACTAAACCTGATTGTTCGTACTAACACTTTCTACTTCTCTGTATATATTCCTGTTTGTAAAATATTTGTGTTATTCCATATACGTATTCGAGTTCTTCTTTATTGGTTCTACCTTGGACTATCACCGTGGTACAAGGAACAAGGAACCGGACCATAACACATATATTACAAGCTACTGCAATATGAAATGACCATTACTGCAGACATTTATTGCCAGCAACTTAATCAGGTAAATGACATATTATGTTGAAAGCATCCAGCATTGGTAAATAGAAAAGTTGTTATTCCCTAGTAAGCCAATGTAAGGAGACATTCTGTGAAAGAAACCCAATAAAAATTAAGATCATTAGAATGTGAGGTTCTTCCATATTTTCCATACTCACCAGATTTAGCAACTACAGAGTTTCATTTTTCATATTTTTTGAGCAAAACCCAAATTTCTTTAAACATGGAATCAAAAATTTACTTTCCTGTTGAGCTGCAGGCATTGAAAATGAAGGTGATTACATTTTTAATAAATAATATTGTTATAAACACATGTATGGTAACACGGAAGAACAAACAAAACCAAAGTACTTCCAGTGAGGTGAAAGGAAAAGACAAGAATTGCAAATATAAAATTCTTTTCTGTTGCTGATACAGCAGATGCAAGCAGAATGCAGGCAAGGGAGGTGGCTTTAAAAGAAGAATAGAGTTGGTAAAACCTGGAGTTGTTGAGTTGGTTGACTGATGTTATGGTGCTTATATAAATAGAGGCCTGTAGTGGATTAGTGAAGCTTGCTGTTCGCCATTAATATGGCTTTGCAAATACAGAGGATGTGAGCAGATTGTCTCTGTGAGCATGATGTAGGTGTTTGGAGGAGGATGGGTCTTAAGTGGATATGTGTGTTGGGTTGGTTGACTAAAGCCACTGTGATGATGTTGAGAGCCCGTCAAGCATCAACAGTAGGCCCATTCTCTTTGCTTCTCTTTCAGGCATTTGTGAGTGGTTTTCTTAAAAGCAAATCTGGTGGCTCCTGAGCTCATCTTTTTCTTAGGCGGCAACATTCATGATTGGCTTCTTTTATGATGCATTTTAGATTTTTGATGGGATTTGTTTTGTGTGCTGGATGTGATGCTTGGAGACCCTGTGCAGAAGACGACTTTATTTATTTTGGGTCTTGCTTTCATCCAGCAGACAAGTAGAGTGAATCAGAGATCGAATTTGCAGCAGAGTATAACAATATTTAATATTTAATATTTCTTTTCGTATCTTTTTTGGTAAAATGTATTTACTTTCTGAACACCATAATATTTTTAAATTCCTTATTAATTATTATTCTTTCTGTTCACTGTTGAAATGTTTTTATTTTATTTAATCTGTCATAATAAATTGAGAATGTAAAGTTTAACAAAATGCAATGATCCAATGATGTTTAACTGGATCTTGTAGGTTTTTATTATATATAGACATTAAGCAATTCACCTACAGAAATTGCCTAAAGTTTGTTTTATTATCAGTACAGTGAATATAACCCCTATAAACCATATGTAATTAGTTATTTCAAAAAACAAATGCAGCAAACTAGTAAATATAGCCGTTGAAATATGAAAAGGAAAGCAACAAAGATGAGTCAAAATATGAAAATCTTGCAGTCAAACTTACTGTTCTTTAAGCCATTCTTTAACAAATGGTATATCCCTTAATTTCACATTGTCTCTGTTCTTAAAAGTTTTGTTATTTCTGAAAAAAATTAAAAACCATTAACCATTAACTGTTTAATACCAAAAATTAAAATTGTTAAACGGAGAAAAAAGAAATCTTTATTAATATGGTTTATTCAAGGCTGGTACGAAAGGCTGGCATCAACCTAAGGGAGATAATTTAAAATCAGTATTTTTTTAATACAACATATCCACTGTTGGCATCCTACTGGTTCTCATGAACCGATTCTTAAAATTATAAAAGCTTAGCAAACCAGTTGTTGGATTATCTAAAAATGATCGTATATATTAATATCCGATATATAATAGATAAAATATATAAATAATACCATTACTGTAAGTTCTTCAGAGGTTGAAAGAGGGTTTTTTGTGATAAACATAATCTCTTCTGACAAAAGAAATAGTCTTGAAGTTAAAAATGTGGCAAATCTTCTAGTCCTAAATTTGATAGGTCTTCCGTTGGATCTTTGGCACTACAGCAATTCAATTTGAATATGGCTAAGAAACCATAACACAGATGATGATACTACAGTCAAAAAGCATCAAACTTCTAGATAGAAATATGATGAGGACAGAATTTCAATCTGGAAATATCTTAATAAATAAATGTTTCCTATTAAATTATCAAAATTATTGAATTCTTTTTTATACTAGAAAGTGATTTGTTTCCATTCTCATGGTTGAAAAGAAAATAAGCAGAATAGGTTCCTAAAGATTACCTGCCTTTAAAGAGCCACTTCCTGGAAATTTGGGATGTCATTATTGCATATATCCCATAATCATTATAACATTTAGTATGCAAAATGTTTATGCAAATGAGATAAAAGTCGTAATTTGAATTTTACTTTTTAATCATTTCATTGGTAAATAATTTATCAGGGTTTTGCTTTTAGAATAAAAGTAGAATAAGGTATTTACAAGCAACTAATTTTTCCTCAAATTTTTGTTTTGATTTAATATTCACATTGATATGTTTCATGAAAACTAAATAGTCCAATAACACACACATAAATATTGAATAAGGACATGAACTTTTTGTGCATATATCTATGAAGATTCAATGCTTTAAAAAAAAAAAGAAAGATGAATGTTGGTGAAATATTTAAAAAAATGATGAATCTGACAAACCCAAAAAACAAAGAGTGTTATAGTATTCCATGATGCTCAGGTAAAAATAAGTCTCCACTTTGTTGTTGGATTTTACACTATTTTATTGTAAATATTTATGGAAGAAACTAGTTAATGGTGTTCATGTTGCTCAAATATACAAATATATATATATATATATATATATATATATATATATATATATATATATATATATATATATATGGGATACAGGTTCGAATCCTGTCAGAGGACGAATATTTTCTATGAAATTTCTCGGACATTCAGGCCGGTAAATGTTATCTAATACTGTTTATTATAAACAGAGCATTTACTTAAATATTTGTATCTATAAAAAGAATGTTAAACATAAAAATGTCTTTAAAATAATTGTCGAACTTTGTCCATCTCATAATATATATATATATATATATATATATATATATATATATGGAGTGTGTAGACATTCTCCATTTGTATAGATAATATATAGTAGATACCCAATACAGCCAATACAATAAAATCAATCACAATATGGTAGATAGCCAATGCAGTCAAATACAGTAGATAGCCAAAACAATATAATACTGTACAGCCAATCATAATACAGAAGGTAGACAATAGAGCCAATCACAATATAACACAGTACAACAAATCACAGTGTATTAGTTAGACAATACAGCCAATCACAATACAGTACAGCCAATATCAATACAGTAGTTAGCCAATACAGCCAATAGAATTGTCATTATTATCACAAAGCAGACAGTTACTTTAGTTACTGAGCTTATTTCTTTTCAAGATTTTAATGAATAAAAAATTATTTCTTAACAACAATTAGGAAAATATGATGTTTCATTGATAAAGTTTTTAATACAAAATACAGATTTCTCCTTTTTCCATGTGATTCTTTGGCCTCAAAACAACTGACATCAAATCAATTCTGGTGAATGAAATGTTTTATTTAATATTAATTCCGTATTAATTATACTATTTAATAGGCATATGGCTGAGAGGTTAAAATGGTAGCATTCCAACCATCAGAACTGGACTTGAGTTTTACCATTATCAGTTTATCAGGGAGGTGACTTCTTGATAATATTGGCCTAAGAAGATGATCCCAGCATTTGGTTCCACTAGGAAGTGTTTGAAAACTATGCTACAACTTGAACCAAGCTTTGTAAGTGAAAGTGGGTTGACAAAACTGTTCAGCAGCTGTTGTCGATTGTAGTAGCCCAAATTCACAAGTCATTGCAACCAAGGGTTTGAGTGCACTAGCCTTGTTTAACTAACAATCATATCAGATTATGTACTCTCTCCAAGGAACTGTGACTATTTCTGCTCAGTTGAGCAGCAGTATTGGCTCTGTGACTGTTGAAGAAAGATAAATGTGTCACAGAGACCAACAAGAGAGATTAGCTAGCCACCCTAGTAGACTCTATAATCTCCTGAGATTGGTGGAGGCCTGCAACTATTTATTTTTTATATCATAATATTGAAATGCCTTATATTTTGTTAGGCATTTTAGTTTGAAGTTATGCTGACTAAAGTCAAGTATATTGCAAAGTTAACTGAAAACAAATGGGAAAATTAGCAGCAATTAATCAAATTAAATAGTATACTTACCTGTAAAGATATTCTGTTATATAGTCACAAGCATTAAATTTGGTCCTTTTTCGCTACAAAGTTAAATTAAAACAAAAATTTATACACATATACACTAAGATTTTATTACATAAATCAATTTCATAATAAAACTGTTATTAACCAACTAATGTTGGTAAAATGTTCAAATATGCTTACACATATTTTGCAACTTGATGGTTGCTCATTATATTGTAAATAAACATATATAATAGTTATTGATATTTATTTTTTAATTTCAGATATTTAGAGATTGCTATCATTTGGTAGAAAGATATGACTTCAAAAAGGAAACAAGATACTTTGAAGTTATTAAGTGATGGGAATACAATGTAAAAAATAAAACAGTTATCATAGAACAATAAAAAAGAAAATGAAAACATTAACAAGATAAGAACAAGACAAAAACTGGCTTTAAGACTGTCATAAAAGTAGATTTGAGAAAAATCTAAAGGGTAATAAGCAAGAAAAGCAGACTGAGTAACAAGAAAAGAAGCTAGTGTCATGAATGTAAACAGAAAGAAAACATGCAGAATATTAAAAAAATTGGCCAAGGACCTAAAAGCAACCAACTTAATATGCTTAAGTAAACATCACAAGGAGAATTGTATAAGTTAAGTAGAGAAATAAATACATGAAATTTGCTTTCCCTACTAATTTTTATTGATAACTGTAAAGCTACATTGGATGGAACTGGTAGCTGTGCTAACAGTTAGGTCCTTCCTGTATTATTTCTGTAAGTACTATTGTCTTTCACCATTAGTACTTACAGAAATAATACATCACTTTCTAAATATTTTGGAGTTTAAAAGATGATAATAAAACTCCTAAAGTGAAATGGAAAATTTTAAAAACTGCAAGGACTTTATATGAAACTTGTCTTCTGTGCTTACATGAAACATTGGAAATTACCAGATGCAATAAAATTTCTTATTAAATCAAAGAAATGAATTAACAGTAAATTGTAAACATAGTTTACCTTTTACCTTACAATTTAATTAAACTTTGGAATTTGATTATGCTTTTTCTTAGATTTTAGTTAAACTCTGTTGCGCTATATAGTACTTATCTTTCTATTTGTAAGATTAATTTGGATTTAATATAATTTTGTATTAATCTCCTAATAGTATTAGTAACATTTTGTATGGATGTATTGGTATTTGGTTGGTATTTTTGTCATTTTACATTGATTGGTTAGAGTTATTAAGATCATATATAAAGAATCTTTATTCAACAGTTGCATATTAATTTACGAAATAATTCTATATGTTTAAATTATTTACTGTTTATTTATCAACTATAAAAAAATTTTATGTTACAAATTCACAAAGCATGTAACTTGTTAAGCATTTTGTTAAATTACCTCTCTAATCCATTTTTATTTCTTAGGAAACAGCATTGTCTAGTTTGTATAATTTATGTAACCATTTGCATCCGCTTTAGTTTATCTCAGACTGCCATTAGCTGCCAATTTACAGGTCATGACCCATTTATAAAAAATAATTTTTAATTTTTGCTTTTTTGCTTAGTTTAAATTTAACATAGGTCATATTTGATTGGTTGATCAAAGTAAAGCCCACAAACCTTATAACTCCCCATTTTTTCCTTTTTTCATATAAAGAGGTTGTATTCTACTTTTGAGTCTAAATAAATAGTTCACTTGCCAGTAATTTACCATCACCTGATGTGATGCATTAATATACATTGGAACACAACTGCAATTTTGACATGTTTTCAGTGTAATATCTTTTTATATATATATATATATATATATATATATATATATATATATATATATATGAGAGAACAGAAAACAATATTCAAGCAGAGATCTCTGGAAGATAAAAAACTGCTTCAAGTAATTTTAAATTGAAAGTGTACAGAAGTTAAATAAAAGAAACAATGGTTGAAAAACATCAAGAATATATTAATATGTATGAAACATCAAGCATATATATTAACATGTATGAAACATCAAGCATATATATTAACATGTATGAAACATCAAGCATATATTAACATGTATGAAACATCAAGCATATCTTAACATGTATAAAACATCAAGAATATATTAACATGAAAAATCACTTATTCAGGAACATAGGATATTGATTTAATCAAATATATGTTTCTGCAGCCTATATATTTGGGATATTTTTTATTTTAATCATTTCACCCCCAATAAATCCACTAAGATGCAAGAGTATACTGATTGTGAAAGAGTTATGAGAAAAAGAAGAACTTTATTAAGAAAAGGGAGACAATAAATGTAAAGAAATTAGGAAGACTGAAAATAATGATAGGCATTGTATTTAAGTTTTTGAAGATCAAACTTGACTGGAAAACAAGCATCTGGAAGTAAGTTCCACAAATGGGAAGTGCAAGAGAAGAAACTATTACCATAGAATTTAGGATTACATCTAAAAATTTCAACAGAAAAAAGATGAGACCTAACTGCCAATCTAGTACTGCCCTTAAATTCATAAAGTCAAGGTACTTTGGTACCTTGACTTTATGAAATGAGGAAATCTCATCTGAACAATTACCATGAATTTATAAACATTTATAATTAGAAAATTATAATGCACTTTATTTGCAAATTAAAACTCAAAAGAAGTTATCATTAATATTCTGTATAAAGATAGATATTATAAACTGAAATTCACATGATATATTGTATATGAGTACATCCTGAAAATTTTACAAACATCAGTTGATTAGTACCAATTTTATTATGAAAATATTAAATTCCATAATAAAATCAGACATCGTATACATGAAATATAAGCACATTCCAATTTATTGTTGATTATAATACACCCCCAAAACAACTCCAGTTTGATATTTATAATTTCAGAGGAATACAAATGAAAGATTAAATACCTCAAAGCATTTTTCAATTTTGGCTTGTTTTAACATTTCAGTTAAAGCAGGTTCTAAAATTGGGAAGACATAATGTTCCAAGTACTCTCGGGGAATACCTGAAATGAAAATATGATTGATTAAAGTTGTGCAAGCGATACAGGGAAGATAAATCAACTTTACACGGCTTCATAGATGCTTGAATGTGGTGCATTTAATGAACAATGCACTTTTTAGGACACAAAGAATTTTTTAGGATTAACCAGTAAGGATAATCATAATATTTGTATATATCAATAAATAAATATATCATATTAATAAAGGTTTACATGTATCAACAAAATGAATCCTGTTAATGTGACAAAAATCCATATATATTTTAGATCATTTTCTTCATCTTTGTTGTTTTTTTCTAACACATTTCATTCAATACATTCCTTGGTTTTCCTCAGGAGAAGGTTTGTCTGGTTGTATTGGACAAAATGTTATGTTAAAAACAACAAAGATAAGGAAAACTTCTGTCCATATTTCTGAGATTAGGTATTGTAACTATTTACACTATTTACATTGTTTTGATTGTTATCCTCATCTTTATTGTCACATTCACAATATGAAGAAGGCTGGAGCATACAACAATTGAAACATTGTGAAAGTGACAATAAAGATGAGGACAACAAACAAAAATATGTAAAATAGAGTAAATAAAGAAAACTTTAAAAATATACAAAATAAAGAAAGTATTTAGACTTCCAGAAAACAGTTTTTTATATAAAAAACTGTTTTCATAAAAACAGTTTATATATATATATATATATATATATAGATAGATAGATAGATAGATAGATAGATAATATTAGTGGTCTATATATATATATATATATATATATATATATATATATATATATATAAAATATATAAATATATATATATAAATCTATATAAATAAATTTCAAGAGGATATAATCCAGGTAGAACTCAATATATATATATATATATTTTATGAGGAGGCACAGTGGAGTAATGGATAGTGGCTTGGATTGAGGAATCGGAGAGCCGAGTTTGAATTCCAGTCAAATCCATTACATTCACTTATGCGCTAATACCCTTGGGAAAGGTATGAATCCACTTCTTCTCCCCCAAGCTATGGGTAAATAGCAGTACAGACTGGGTTCTATAGCCTTGGATGGCAACTGATCTAAGAGAAAGACAACTCTGAATTCAAAACCTGAGGAGGGCCGTTTGGGGACCTTGTAGCACATAGTGCACCAGGTCTTTGTATTTGGCCCTTCAAAAAGTGTGGATGGTTCTGCACAATACCTTCATTACTATAATGAAATTATATGTGCTGGTGTCTGGCTTTCGGTATCTAGGAACTAATCTGCTTGACCCTCATATGTCAAATTCGAAGGGAGAGTTGAATATATACAGCTGTTTCCAGAAAAAAAATGTTTCTAGAAAATAGTTTTTTAAAAAACTTCTGATATAGTCAGAAGTTGTTAACTTCTATTAAATTATACTATCTGAAAGCAGAAAAAATAAGAATCAGTTTCTCTAATTTATTATTTGCTCATCTCACTAAAATTGTCAGTGTTCACTTAATTTTGAATCATATATTTAGATTTAAGGTCCTTCTATATATCGGTTAGTTAAGTGCCATACATGATACATGCTTGGACGATCATGTCTCTTTCAGTTCATGACTGACTAGGCAGAAGATTTTCCCGCAGTAGGTTGCCATTTCTTTCAGCGAGAGACTAGTTGCCAACCAAGGTTATAGGACCCAGTCTGTCTTGCTATTCAATCCATAGCTTGGAGAAGAGATGGATATATACCTATCCCAAGGGGATCTGTGCGTAAGTGAATGTAACAAACCCAACTGGAATTTGAACTCAACTCATCCCAAGCCAATATCCATTAAACCCCAATGAACTTTCTCTGTATATACAGTACGTTAAATATGTTATTAATGTATATTCAGTTTAGGAAACCTACAAAAATATCTGAAATATTATTGACAGATGAAAAGTCAACATATTTTTATTCATACAATAACTAGTCTTAATATAAAAAGTAATAAATACATTCTATTAAAATATATTTATGCAACATGTTTATTAACTAGTGCAAGTTCATTTTATGCACTTACTTTTAGGAGAAATGGATTAAAAGAAAGTCAGACTGTTTATTAAAAATGTTACATATATGTGTAAAAGTTTCTTTCTTTAGAATTGGCTCTAAAATAGACCACCAGAAATAACTGTCATGGCAGACTGTTGGGGAATCATTTTTTCAAATCTAAAAAGAAAAAAAAATACACCCCTTGAAAAGGGTGGCTTTCATACTTGCAAATTTAAAGTTGAAATCCATTCCAGCCTCTCTTGAGGATATTTAAGACAGGTCAGTAGATGAACAGCATAAGGGACTTAGACATCAGTTATGAAGGGAATAGGCTGACTACAGGGAGGAAGAGGGAGAAAGGACAGATCAGATGTGAAGGAAGCTGGCTGGTTGCAGGGGGCGAAAGAGTTTTGGTGTTCATGTGTGAAAGTCGCTAGCTGCTGCTAAGAGAGCCAAAAGCTAAAAGGTTTCGGCATTTTCAAGGACTACACCAACAACTTCTATGACAAAAAAGAAGAACAAAGAGAAACTTTAAGCCCATCACACTGACCACAAAAATGAAGCTCAATGAAAGCATAAAAAATTTTTTAAAATATCATTAAAGGAACCAGTGAAGCAGAAAGAAAACTGAAAGACATTTCAAAATATCATTAACAGTCCCAGAGACACTCATGGAATAAGCCAAAGTAGGTTTTTCCATTTCTCTATTAAGTCAGTCAGTCAGTTATGTGCCATCCGGGGTATATGCTTAGTTGATCATGTATCAAAAGATACATGACTAACAAGACAGATTTTTCCCTCAGTAGATTGACATTTCTTTCTGTGGTAGACCAGTTGTAATCTATAGAACCCCGTCTGTCCTGCTATTTACCCATACTTGGGGGAGAAGAAGGGGATTCATACCTTTACCAAAGGTATTAGCACGTAAGTGAATGTAATGGATTCAAGTGGAATTTGGCACTCTGATTCCTCAATCCAAGCTAATATCCATTACTTCACTGTGGGTGCACTTTTTTCTAAAGAATATTTTCTTTTTTTTTTTTAACAGTTTTCTTTCACCTTCTCAAGGTTTTTTTCCCCATGATCTGAAGAATTTTATTGTAAATCTTTCTTTCTTGCTATAATTTTGATTGGCTATCTTTATTCATAAAAAGGCAAACAAAAGGAAATTTTTGTGCAGACTTTTTGTAAAAATTGTATTTCGTTATACTATTTTATTGTCTAGGTAATAGATGTTTGCTCCTTTCAGATTTCACATATGAATTTTGAGCCTTGTTTGTTATTTTATGCACCTTTTTCTATAATTAGGATAAGAGAGGAGACATTCTCTCTTCTCCTATTCCCTCCCAAGAAAAAAATTCTTTTGTTCTGGAAGAAAAACATTTTTAATGGTAACGTGCTTTGAAGAAAATGTTTGAAATGGAAATATAACTCATACTTGCGATTGTCTTAGTTGTTACTTTTGGATAATGTAATAGTTAGAAATAAATATGAAAACAAAGTTTTTATTTGTAAATTCATAAAAATCTTTGAACAATAGGACAAGAATAAGGGCCCATTTTATGATAAACATATTATAACAGCTAGATGACCATTTGTTCTTGGTAAATTAAGACCTGAAGCAATTTGAGATATAATATAATCTGAGAAGAAAATGTATAATGTTCAGAAAATGCATTTTCTCAAAATTTATAATTACAATTACTTGTCGTTTTGTGTTTATCTACATTTCCTTGTCCTGACATTGTAATAAAATTATGAATAAAACAATGTGTTTTCATATTGTGGTTGGATCACCTGTTTTTATAAACTTGTAAATATAAAATTAATCTTATATGTTCTTTTTTGCTTGATTTTGTTTAGCAGCATATCAACCTCTATGGGTTATTTAATGCTGAAAGCTAAATATTTTGAACCTGATTTTATGGCTTCAACTAAATATATTTTGAATGCAATTGTATGCCTTCAACTACAGATAAAATGTATTGTTGGTTATTTTGCTATAAAATGTATTGCTGGTCATTTTGTTTTAAAAATGGTAATTTTACTATAAATATGTATTTTACTAAATGGTGTAAATATGTATTTTATTAAATACTATTTAAATATGTATTTTACTAAATACTATAAATATTTTACGAAATACTATGTAAATATTTTACTAAATACTATGTAAATATGTATTTTACGAAATACTATGTAAATATGTATTTTACTAAATACTATAAATATGTACTTTACTAAATGGTAATTTTACTATAAATATGTATTTTACTATAAATATGTAATTTTACTATATAAAAATGTATTGCTGGTATTTTTACTATAAAAATGTATTTTTATACTTTCATAGTGTTTTGTTTTGGGGTTCCCTATTTGCCCATAGCTGGGACCCTAACAGGCTCTACCACCCCTGATCAGGGTGGACATGGAAACAACAGCAATTAAGAGGTGGTTCTATGCTCCTCAAAACCTCCAATCTTCCAATCAAAGGCCTTGCTGCTGGATGTAGTTTATCACTATACCCAGGACTGAATCTTGTAAGCAAACAATTTAATAAATAGTGTTTAATATTTTTGTTGTCAATTCTCAAGAATGAAGAAAATGTATAAATTCGCTTTCATATGTTTAGGTTTTATTACGAGTCTCATCGTTGCTTTTTAAAGAAATGAATATTGCCAAAGAGTAATAGCAGTATCAAGAGAAAAATCATCCTTTTAACAAACAGTTTTTTTGAGAGTATGTTTTATTCAACGTTGCTTTTACTTTCTCAGATTAGCCATTTACTTAAATTATCTGATATCAAAGGTCATGAAGGTCATGTGATTCAGTTGCATATAAATATTTTATTGCAGTTAGTTCAAATATTTTTATAATCTTGTAAATATAAAATTATTCCTGTAAATAAACAATCTAATAAATAAATAGTGTTCAACGTTTTTTTCTGACAATTCTAGAGAAACAAAATGTGTAGCTCCAGTTACATATGTTTGGAATTTATTAAAATTCTAAAAATAGCTTGTTAAAAACATTAAAACCTACTGACAGTGTATACAGTAATAGAAATGTCAAGAGAAAAACCGTCCTTTTCAAACACCATTTTTTTGCAGGTATATTTGTTGAAATTTGCCAAATTTTTTAACTGGTGATACTAGATCACCAAGAAACATATGGTAAAAAATAGTTTGCAAAATATTTCTCATTTTGTCAGCCTCTCATTCAAATTTACTCAAGCACACAGATATATATACATACATATATATATATATATATATATATATATATATATATATATATATATATATACACCATATATTTCTATGTATCAGGTGACCTATAGATAAGATGAGACCCAAAATCTAGGTAAATTTTTGTGATTTTATCTGATATCTGTAGTAAAAGACAACTGACTGGGACCCATATGACAAAACTGTAAACAACGATGTTTATGATGATTTCTTTGCATCAGATAATGATGATCATAGTAATTATGAAGGGTTTTAATTATGTATGTAGGTGTCTTATGTTTTTTGATTATGTAATGAGAAATAAAGATTTTAGGGCATCTTAAATGTTTTGTTGCTTAACACTAAAAAAAAAAGAAGTATAATGTATGTTATTGAAAAATAAAGTTTGCATGTTATCCTAAATGTTGTTATTTAACACTATGAAAAATAATGATTGATATAAATTCACCCATAGATATACAAAGCAAGAATGAAAGATTTGTTTACATTACTTGTTACTTGTGCATGTTGCTCAGCAGAAATTTTGAAAATTGTTGTGTAATTGTCTCTTAAATATTGTATTTTAATGTGAATTCAAGAAGTAAAAGTAGTTTTATTATGTTTATAACCAGACGCTTCTCTGTAGCTAAATGGTATAGCATGTCAGATCAAATGACAGTTTCCATATAGGTTCAATTCCTGTTGAAGAAGACATATTTTCTACGAAATTTCTCAAACATTCTAGGCCAGTAAATGTAATTAATACTGTTTAATTAAAAACAGAGGATTTACTTAAATAAATTTATCTATAAAAATAATGTATAAACAGAAAATATATTAAATAATTGTTGGATTTAGTCCATAATATTATATATTTATGATTGTAGTACCGTATTTAAAATGTGAATTATAACAACTAGAAATATTTACATAGGTAATTTTACCATGCAGATGTAGTTGTTAGCCTACTGTGATCCATAGACCTAGCCTATTTACCAATGCTGATACACCACAGGATTTAAGGTTAGGTTTTTGTAACTGTTGTATTAGACAGCCCCCTATTTTGGGGGGTAATTTTTAAGATTTAACGGTCATCTTATAATATCGGTATATGCACTTCTTATTATTATTCAGCTAAGTTTTAACTACAAAAAAAAATCAGAAGCATTACTGAATTATTTCCCTTGCATTAGCGAACTTACACTCCGAACAATAAACCAACACACTTCTTGACTTATATATTAGGACATTTTTCTTTTTCTATTATCTATTTTTCTTTTTTGACCCTCCATATTACAGATAAGCTAGATTTTAAGGTAGATTGTTGTCTCTAACACGCTAATTTCATCAAGATGTTAAAATTATTTTAAACTCAAAGTCAAAAGTAATAAAAATCATTTAAGGGAGATAACTTAGATATCCCTATTACCTAATCTGGAACCGCTTCTGTAAATGGACTCTTCCGAAAAAAAAGACAACCTAGTCGTCTTCATAGAAAGGAAACAGATAGTTAATAAATTTATGTTGTTTGAAAGGTTGATATAATTATGCCTTGGGTCACCCTTCGTTGAAAAACATTATCCTCTGCAAATTATGCTGCCTTCTTGTTAAAGCTTTTCCTTTTTTTTAACACAATTTTTTTTTTATATTACTATGTAAGTAATTTAATAAGTGATATAATTAGCATTTATCTCCCTTGAAAGTTTTTTTACATTTTTATTTTCCAGTTATGATCATTCATTTGCAAATCACAGTTTTTTGTTTGTTTTTTATTTTTACATTAAGTTGACCCATTTCTGAGGAACTTCAGACTACAATGCCCTGTTTAGCCTATTCAGAAATTACATACAAACATGCAAGCAGCAGATGAAGAGGGCTACACATGACACATGTTACAGAAGGTGCCACTTGAAATTATAACAGAGTCAGCGACTGTCCATTGCAGTTTTATAACAGGATTCTGCATCTCTCATTCCATATGTGCTACAGACGAAGGTCATGAAATCAAGTGGGTGGGCCACTTCCTGGCAAATTGATGTCCACCTTAAACAAATTCATGCCATCGACACTTTCTTTTACTCTGATTTTGTTTCATTTCCAACTAAATCTTGCAAAGCCACATGTCGACAAAGAATGGATGATGGGAGCAAGTTTTGGTGAAACTGGAAGATTCTAGTCCTGAACTTGAATGTTGGCAGCAAATTTAGTCATCTACACTATCATCATAAAGGAAGCGAACAGCAAAGAAGAAATTAAATTCTTGGATATGGAATAAAGCCAATGAAGACAACATCTGACTTTTGGCTGTCCCCCCCCCCAAACCCTATTGCTTATCCACAAACGCTATGTAGAAAATGTTAAAAAAATTCTATTCTCTGCCTATTATAGATTAATCAGTAAACCAACTATTACAGGGGAGAAAATCATGTCAAACTCAATGAAGAAATTTGAAATACTTGTCTTTTTATCCGGGGCTGGTGGTGGGCTTGGTTTTGTCTGCTGCTCTGGGATATCAATCAGGCTGTAACCAATACAAGCTGGATGGCTAATGGCTGGATCAAAGTCAACAGCTGGATTCTCATATACCTCAGGCTTGACATGGAGGCACCCAAAAAACACAGGATGATGAATAGAAGGATCGTAATTTATGTACTTTATCTGACAATCAACTTTGGGAGGATCTTTTTTTTTTTCAGATTCTGAAAGAATTACAAATAGATAGTTTAGATAAATAAATAAATAGATATGAATTGATAGATAGATAGATATGAACAGATTGGTAGAGATACAGATAGAGAGATGTTTATGTTCAGACTGATAGATAGATAGACTTTTTCTTATTGTGTTGAATTGACATGCATTGTGGTTTCACAGCTTAGAATTCAAAGTTTTCCTTCTCTTAGAATGGTTGCTAGCAAAATCTCGAGATCCCGGTCTGCCATGATATTTAACTCATAACTGAGAATGGAGAGAAGAGATGGCAACATTTCTTCTCCAAAGGTACTGACATATTGATTATCAAAGTAATTTTCATATTGGATTCTGCCACAGAAAGCGTATATATCATATCTTGGGTCTCCTTCTAAAGTACAACTGCTGATTAATTTAATTAAAATAAATTAAGAAGAAAAAAAAGATGATTTATAGCAACACACTCATTCAACTAATAGCATTCTTACATTTATCATTCATTGACAGAAAGTCGTTAATGTGTCTCTGTCATTTTTAAAGAACCTTTAAAATCATTAAAAGCTTTTTCAAGTTAATATATATATATATATATATATATATATATAGAATGAATCATATATATCCACCTTCGTACGCAAATTATTCATGATTTGTTGTTTGCTGATGATGCTGCTCTTGTAGCAACATCCTTTGAGGAGGCCCATCATCTAATAAATTGTTTCTCTGCTGCATGTAAAGCCTTTGGTCTTACACTTAGCATAAAGAAAACTGAAATTGTGCACCAACCTTGTCCTACTTTGAAGCAATTCTGTGGTGAGAAACAAAAACCACCAGTCTACAAATTTCCAGAGAGACCATTGAAAGTAGAAGACAAAGCCCTGAACTATGTAAAGTCTTTCACCTATCTTGGTAGCAAAGTCAACTAGAATGGAACTTTAGTTGATGAAATCATGCATCGGATTGCTAAGGCTACCAGTGCTTTCAGCAAACTTCACCGTTGCTTGTGGAATGAGCGGGGTATTCGACTGGATACAAAAATTTGGGTTTACAGAGCTGTTGTACTTGACATTCATGGACTCCATACAGGTACCATATACGCAAACTAGATGTTTTTCATAAAAGCTGTTTGTGTGCAATCTGTGGAGTTAACCTTCAAGATAGGACATCTAATGTAGACTTGTTTAACAGGTGTAATATTGGAGGAATCGAGACTTTTCTCATACAATCTCAGTTACAGTGGACTAGTCATGTCTTGAGAATGTATGATGACAGGATACACAAGATCCTAATGTACAGCCAGTTAGATCAGGGCTACAGGAATGTAGGATGCCCATGGCTAAGATACAAATACAAGCTGTCAATATACCACAAAACACCCTTGAGCACTTAGCCTTGGAGTGGGTAGAATGGAGATCAACATGTTTTAGCGGACTCAGAAATTTTCAATCTGCTTGTCTGAATCATCTTCAAGAAGTGAGAGTAAGATCTAAAAGGTCAGCCAATCTAACAGTGATCTCATCTCACAATCCTCACTCTTGCTCCATATGTGGCCTCCTTTGTAAATCACTAGCCGGTCTTAAATGCCACTTAAGATTATCACATAAAATTTCATAAATGAATCAACTAAGTTGTCAGATCCTCATACGTTGAAACTGACGGAGAGTCCCTTATATATATATATATATATATATATATATATATATATATATATATATATATTTGGGCTGGTCCTGTTGTGAGAATGGATGAGCATAGGCTTCCCAAAAAAAGTGCTGTATGGACAACTACCAAACTCCAAGCATTTAGTTGGACATCCACTCTTATGCTACAAAGACAAATTGAAAAACAACTTGAAATGTTTCAACTTTGATCAGAAAACCTGGGAAGCCCAAGCATCAAACCGAAAGGAGTGGCATAAGACATGTTTCATTAAGTTAAAGTGTTTTGAAGACAGAAGACTGAAGCACCGTGATCAGCTTTGTCAATCTCAGGAGCAGAAATGCCATCAAAATCCTGCTTTAACAAATTTCATCTGTCAGTGTGGCTTTGTCGCCTGCAGCTGGGCTAGTATCACACTTAAGAAAGCACAAATGAAATATGTCTTTCTCTTACCTGATTTTCTTCACAATAGCCTGTTAGCATGCATAAGTGTAAAATGAAATATACCATCCAATGCTGACCCTCATTTATCATTGATGATAGGAGAGTCCACCATATATATATTTATAGATAGATATGTAAATAGATACAAGCAAACTGAAATGGATAGATAGATATGAGCAGACTGAAATGGATAGACAGATAGATATGATGAGACTAAAATAGATAGATATGAGAAAACTGAAATAGGATAAATAGATATGAGCAGACTGAAATAGATAGATAGATAGATAGATAGATAGATAGATAGATAGATAGATAGATAGATAGATATGAGCAGACTGAAATAGATATATAGATAGATAGATAGATAGATAGATAGATAGATAGATAGTAGGAGACTGAACTATAAACAATTTTTTTTAATCATTAAAAGTATAACATGCTGATACATATCACTTAATGATTCCAATAAATACCTTAGACTTATAATTTTTTTAAAAATTAACTATAACCTGTTATTTGGGAACTAAAAAATCTATATAAAACTAATGTTGTTTATGAATTTATGTGTTCTTTGGGAGATTGGATCTCCAAAATCTATAAAAAATCTTTAAAAAATTCTTACAGTGGTCACACAAACACTACACTCTCTCATTAGTTAACTTGTCACTTATCAAAATGTAGAGCAATTTACACACATCTCAATCATCACATTACAAACAACTAAAATACAACTATTGACATAAGATAAATATTAGTTGATAATACCAAAATACTATACAGTACTTATTGCAAGAAAAAAACTCTAAATACCCAAAGCTATTACTATACAAAAAAACAAATAATAAATAAAATATGTTTCACAACCAGACACAGCATTTTAAACTGTATATGTATTATTTAATATGCATATCAAAGTCATAATAATTCATATAAAATATTTGATACATTCATTTTTCAGTGCTGTTATGCTCTGAAACCATTCTACACAAGACCTTTACTTATATGATACACATATATGTATATGTTAAGAAATGGACAAGGTCCGACAATTTATTTATTAAAGACATTTTTATTTATGTTTAACGTTGTTATTTTATAGATACAAGTATTTAAGCAAATGCTCTGTTTAAGATAAACAGTTTTAAATAAAATTTCCTGGCTATGAACGAATATTTTCATGAAAATTTTCATAGAAAATAGGCCGGTAAATGTTATTTAATACTGTTTATCTTAAACAGAGCATTTGCTTAAATACTTGTATCTATAAAATAACAACGTTAAACATAAATAAAAACATATATGTATATTTGAAATTAACTTGCCAAAAATGCTAGGATATAGCAAACAAAACCTTGTTTAACACACTGACAACATTTAGTTTTTGATTATGACTGAGTAATCAAAAGTACTCAAACAAAACCATAATGAATGCAGAACAAGCAGCAGCAGGCAGATTAAGTTTAAGACTCCAAGTTTTTGACTCAGAATTGTCCCACAAGAGTCCTAGTGGATTAAAGTATTGGTTTGTGAATTTAGTGACATGGTAATGCTAAATAACATTGTAGAAGAACCTTTATTTTATACATGTTTCTAAATTAAATACCCACTTGTGCACTTTTTATTTTTTTATTGTTGGCACATAAAAATTTGCCATATAGACAACTTTTTTCATTATTCCTTGGAAACTAAAATCTTTGTTCCAAATTCTGTTAGCATACTCAAGCTTTATTGAATATTTATTGTCACCCTTGCATCTCCTTCAGAAAACAAAAAATTGGTTTGGTTTGGTTTGTTTTGTGGCATATCAACCTCAATGGGTTATTTAATGCGACAAGATATTTATTGCTGGTAATAATTTTTTTTCAAAAATGTATTGTTGGTAATTTTTTTTCCAAAAATTTATTGCTGGTAATAATTGTTTTTACAAAAATGTATTGGTGGTACTAAAACATACTTTTACACTTTCATAGTGTTTTGACCCCAGTTTGGGGTTAATTATTTGCCCATAGCTGAGACCCTAACAGCTGTTACCACCCCGGGTCAGGGTGGACCTGGGAACACCAGCAATTAAGAGGTGGTTCCATGCTCCTCAAAATCTCCTGATCAGAGGCCTTGCTGTTGAATGTAGGTTATCATTTTACCTAGGACATGGATGTAGTTTATTGTCATACCCAGGACAGACAAAAAATTGGGGCTCAAATACAATTTATATCAAATAGTTAACTTGGCACTATTTAAATAGATTGGTTCTGTAATATAGCAACAACTAGAAAGCTTATGGAGCTTTATTTTACTAATTCAGCTTTAGCGCTGAAAAAGTTATTTTATTGTGATGGATGGTTACAAGCAAGAAGGTAGATAGGAGGTGCTTTTTTATTACCAGAAGTTCCCTGATAAAAAATAAGAAAATTTTTTTTTAGTGGGGGTGATATAATTTTTGTAGATTAGCACTCTTTAAATTTTCCTTAAGTAACAACACTTATCAGAATCGAAAAAAGATTGATTTACAAGCAGGTAACCTGATTATAATATCAAAACTGTCAAATTTATCCTTGACTCTTTATAGAAATATTGGTCTTTGGCTATGTCAATTCTTTCTTATATTATTTACAAATGTCAATTTTTTTTTATGAGGATCAGTCTGTTGCAGAGGGATGGGTTATTAGGAAATATATATATATATATATATATATATATATATATATATATATATATATATATATATCAGAAGGTATTATTTGTTTTGGCTGCGTGAATACAAACTGTTCCACAAACATTTAACTTTGGGTATGGCGCAAGGTTGTCAATGACAAAATATAAAACAAACAATATTTCTTTTTAGAAAAACAAGAATAAAGCATTTATATAACAAATATATACAACATGAGAATGAGAATGTTCTTTAGGACAGATAGAGAGTTTGTTTAGTGTTCTTGTCAGTAAAAGAATTTTCAAGAATTGATCAGTTCAGATTAATTAATATTTTACATTGTAAATTTCTGTTATAGTTTGATATTGGAAATTGAAGTAAGAGTTGTCTCTCTTTACCTGTTGAATATTGAATACATATTTTTTTTCTTAATGAAACAAAAAAGATTGGAAGTTAAAATATATTATGAATTGATTCAACAAATGAGTAAAGTCCCTTGAACAAAAGTAAGTTGTGTTCTTCCAGGAAAGTTTGTTGTAATTGAAACTGGTGAATGAAATGTTGGTTGATATCAAAAATTGAATTTTGTGTTCAAGAGATAAACTTTTAGGCTTATAACTTTTGAGTAAATTGTGCATTAAATATTAAGAATCTTTTGGCTGCAAGATAGTTGACTCGAAGTAAGTTTGCATTAGGTTATGTTCAAAGTTGCTTTTTGAATTAAATTTTTGTTTAGCAAACTATATGTTCTTTGAGTAGAATTCTTGTTGTCTCAATAAAAATAGTAGATGTTAGAATTGAAGTGTAGTTTGTTGGTGAGTGAGTGAATTTGAAGTTTGGGATTATGTTAGGAAATCTAATTTAGAAACTTCAAAGATTTGAATGGCGTGAATTTGTTTAGCAAATTGTTTGATGCTGTTAAGAGTTGAATAGTTTCTGTGTAAGGAGTGAATGAGGAGTTCAGAGATATGTGTGTGTGTGTGTGTGTGTGTGTGTGTGTGTGTGTTTGTGTGTGTGTGTGTGTGTGTGTGTGTGTGTGTGTGTGTGTGTCATAGCATTTGACCTTAAGAGACAAACGTAATCTCTGTAACATTACATCTTGTGCATGTGAGAGAAGGCAAAAAGAGAAAGAGTTGAAAATGTCACTAGTATTTATATTGTTGAATGTTATGTGATAGGCTCAAAACACACAGAGAAATGTTTGGCGGTATATTAAATTTAACCATGTGGACGTGGACAAAAGCATGATATCAGCATTAATTGACCAATCAGGAGTCAGAGAAATATCAAGGCTCTGTGATCCACTCTTTTTACAGATTTTTGTCGATCACTGTGCTGTTACATAGGAAATGTATTGGAATCTTTTTTTAACCAATGGAATTAGTTAGATCACAAATAAAATATTAAATTGAAGTAAAACACTAAAAGTCTAAGTAGGTAGTGTCATTAAATCCAATAATTTTTTATTTGAATTATCTATTTTCATTTCACATTTTTTTTTACTTGCCATAGTAGTTGAATTATATTTCATTATCTATTTATTTATTTATTCAAAAAAGTGTGCTCAGAGAATGCAGCTAGAAAAAGCACTCTAAGAGATATTCAGTGCTAAAAACAAACAAACTGAAAGATAACCAAAATTGCTACTATTTTTTTCAAAGTAAAGATATTAATAACGATAAAATATTATATTTCAGTATTTAAAATTAATTAACACAGGTAGAGGTTACTTTAAAATAATTCCTATGCAATATAACTGATTATTTTTTTAAAAAAAGATGAAAAAAAAATGCAAAATCAACCTAGAGTAGAAATGATCAGTGTGGTTAATGATAGTAATATTGTTTTTGCAAATCTGAAAACTAAAAATAATGATTCACCTTTGCAAATTGATTCCCAAAGGTTCTTTTCTGGTATTCTAATAATGGCCGTCATGTTTCGTTTTTTTATTTGAAGTCAATCAAACCTGAAAAAAAAAAGAAAGAGGTTTATCTTTAACTAATAACAAAGTCTATATTGTTACTGTAATAAAATTAAAAGCACAAAACAAAAAAAAGTAGATTTTTTTTAATAAATTTTTAAATTTATTTAGTAAATACAAAATTTTAAATTAAAAACTTTTTACTAGAAAAAAAAAAAGATTTAATAATTTTTTTTTTTTTTTTTTTACGTAGCACAACTTTAAAAAAAAAATATTGGATCTTTTCTGTTAATTCACCCCTCCAAAAAAGAGAATTTATATTTACTAAAAAAAATTCACACCAAAATTCTCCCAGAGCGAGTCCCTTCCATTGCACTCCGGTTGAGTTGACCTTTGTGATCACCCCAAATGTGGGCGACTTGGGTGCGCTGTTTCTAAGTGTGGGGTCCACATTCGCGCTCACCCCGATAACCAAACCCAAAACAGATTTTTTTTTTTTAATTATAAAAAAAAAAACCTTATAGGTACCCTACTATCATCCGCACTTGTGAAATGAAATATGAATAACTCCCTGATGTTTGGTAATTTTTCATTCTGAGGGTTGGAGTTGTTGCGAGGCAAGCTAAACAAATTTTGATTTTTAAAATTTTATTTATAATTTCAAAAGAGTGCCAAAAATTTAATAAAAAAAACAAACAAATTGATTTAAAATTTATAATTACTTGTGGTAAATTAATATTTACATTAAGGTGAATTAACAGAAGAAAAGATTAAAAAAATATTTACTTTTTTTAGTCAATAAATTAAAAAAAAACTTTCAAAGGAACAATAATAAGAAATTATTCAATTGTAATTTTTATGTTTATGTATGAATGATGAAATTAATTTTTACAATAAAAAAAAAGGAGGTAAGATTTTAGTTAAGCAAAGAAAATTAATAAATCTCACTGGTATGTTTTCCCTCGGACTGGAATATTTTTATCCGTCAGGAAAATATTTCTGGTTCATTGCAGAGTATTATCCAGGGGAAACGAAAAGCTCGGGGTTTATTTTCTTCCGGCTTCTAACGCTGTTGCCATAGAAACACAGGGGCAAATAACTCTTGCTTGACGTTAGTAAGTTAAACACTAGGCGGCGTTCAATGTCTTCCATGCTGTCCGGACGAAGACGACAAGTCGGAAAAAGCTCAGTCAAAATTTTGTTATTGTTTACGATTTTCTTCAGTTCTTCGTACCAGTAATATTCACATGATGGTGGACTGATTTATTGTGTGCGTTTTTAAAGGGGAAATCGGATAACTTAGTTTAATCTGTTTTCGAAAAAAGAGACAAGCAAACTAAAACACCATGAGTAGCGGACGGGTCAACTTGGAGACTTTCTACATCTTCAATTCCATTTATGGACCCAAAGAAGGAGAGGTGAGGAAAATCGAGTCAAAATAATTTTAGACAAACAATTATTTAATTATTTTTATACCAATTGCTTATAGTATACAGCATTACTGGTTATTTTAATTCACTTTTTTTCTCTTGATTCCATATTTATATACGACTTCAGCCTCATTAGAAGGCGATTGACACGTGAGACTCATCACTCAAGTAACATTTTCTGTGTATTTTTGTTTCCTGTTTTAAAATTATGACTTTTTTATTAGTAACATTTTAAATCGCTGATTAAATTCAATTCAGAAGTTAATTTCCGTCACCACGTCGAAAACGATATGATTATACACGCCTCCATGCCTATGAATTTCGACTGTTTATTTATTTTGGTTTAGAGAGCCTTTTATATTCAATGTTCATCAAGCAAATTTAAAACTACTAGAATTTTCGTGTAATATTTAACAGTAACACCCTTTGTGACAAAAGGTACGATTGGATTTAAAATTAAACATTAAAAGTTTTTTTTTCTTTGATCTTTAATAAACCGCCATTTTTGCTGCGAGCATATTTATTGCTTCGATTGCAATGCATACCGACAATCGGTTTAGGGAATTTACTTAATAAATGTTTCAAATGATACCCGCTTTGACGAGTAAACTAAAGTAAATTATTTGTTAAATTTTAGGTTATTTTTTTGTCATATTAACAAACCATCTGTATGTAATTTTTATTAAAACAAAATACGTGACTTCGAAAATAATACAGAAATTAAAAAAAAATGTTTACCTCAACAAAATGTTTTTTTAGCAGCTATTAATTAAATTTAAGAGTTTGAAGCCATTCAAAGTCAACAGAATTTCTTTATTTTTTTTTAAAGGTGTATTTTATTATTTTGGCAAGTAGACAAAAAAGTAAAAATAAATCAAATCACAAACAAAATGGTTATTGGCTTCACCTATATCTGGTAAATAATCGGTCGAGTCAACTGACTGGTTTCATTTCGAACATGACGCATTGTTTTACTTTGTTTTTATTTATCTACTTTAAAATTACAAAAGCGTCTCCAGTCGACAAAACTTTCATAAAAAAATAAGTTTTTACTTTTTTTTAATTTAAAAATAAGATCATTATTTCGTAGAGATGAAAAGTGGATCTGTCATTTCCCTAAATGTCACCTTTTTTTTTTTTAAAGTAAAAGACAATTCAATCATTAATTCGTTGGACGTTAACATTTTGTCATTGATTTCTTAGTATTTTTAATCATTAATCGGTCACTTATCAATAAAAGCCACAGTGAGATGTTATCCAGAGTTATCTAAGTTAGTAGTTTGAGATATTTTCGCTTTGCAAAGTCATGAAAAAAGTAGTAAGAAAGTCTTGTTAGTTGTTCCTTATCAAAAAAAGTTCAAGTTTTAAAAATGTTTCATGAGTCTCTTTCCTACATTTTGTGACACTGCCACACATACACACACATGTTGCATCTTTTGTTTACTTTTGATTTACTTGTTAAACCAGTTGTTAATTAATAATGTTTTTTTTTAATTAATTTTATCTTATTTTGCTTAATAACAATGTGATGTTTATAAACCTGATGATTTTCCACGGATTATTAATTTATTCCAAATTTTTATTGCATTTGATTAATTGGTAATTATTAAATAACTTTTTTTGTGTTTCTAACAATATGGGTCATTTTTTTTTTGTAGTTTGCAGTTTGTAAAATATAAGCTACTTAAAAAATGAACATTCTATATATCTTATCGTGGTCAGAGAATAAACAATAATAATAATAAATTTTAAACACTTTTTCCAAACGACCTTAATTATAATATCAAACAATTTTAATTGATAATTAAATTACTTAACTTCTAAAAACATTCAAATACGCATGCGCATTTTTCACAGAAACTAATATGGCTATTAAAGAAAGAAAAATAAAAAAAATTTTAGACGAATTAGATTAGATTATTTTAAATATTTATATATTGCACAGTGTGTCTAAGGATCTGGAGTACAAGAGGATAATATTGTTCACTTACTATTTTTCTATGGAATAATAAATTATATTTTCGTTTATTTTACTGAGCAAGACCTTGGACGGGACGGGTCCTTTTGGAAAAGTGAAACTAAAAAAAAAAAAAAAAATAACGCTATTTTGAAACTTAACTGAGTGAAAAAAAAAAAGTGACGTGGATATCTCAGATTTTTTACAAGTTATGAATTGGTTGTTTAGATATTTGTTTTTATTATTTATTAGACAAGTTTTTTTTTATTTTATTTTTTTTATTTAAGTGTGTTTGAGCGCAAAGCTCCAACAGGACTTTGTTGTTAGCCTGGTTAAACAAACTCCTGGTTTTTTAAGTCCTTGAAGTGCTGCTAGTTTTCTGCTTGAACTGTTGGTCTTAAACTGACCAGGCGCATCTTTATCAAATTCAAAGAGATTTTACTTGCACTTGTGAAAATAAAAGTACACATTTCTTAGGTTAGAGAATTATTGTTTTATTTATATTTTTTTTTTTACTAATGATCACACAATAAAAAGGTTCAAGAGTCACTCAAGGTAGTGGTTTCCGTTTACTGAATGAGTTATGTAGTCCTGGATATGACAATAAACTATATCTGGCATCAAGACCTGATTAGTAGACTGGAGGTTTTGAGGAGCATGGAACCACCTCTTAATTGCTCCTGTTCCCAGGTCCACCCTGATCTGGGGTGGTAGCACCTGTTAGGATCTCAGCTGTAGGTAAATAGCGACCCCCCCCCCAAAAAAAAACAAAATGCTGTGAAAGTATAAAATTACATTTCTATAGTAAAATACCAGGAATACATTTTTAAATAAAAAAAAATACTATCAACATAGTAAAATTACCATTGATACATTTTATCTGCAGTTAAAAGCATACAAATTCATTCAAAATATTTAGAGTCTGACATTAAATAACCCATACAGGTTGATATGTTGCTAAGCAAAATCAACCAAACAAGCAACATGAAAAAATTCTTTCATGTCATTAATCCATATAACCATCCAGGTTTCTTAAAGAAATCAAACAATTCTAAAATATAACTACAACATAAAATACACATATCATTGCCTCTAGTAATTATGTCCATAATATTATGGATATTGTATATATTATAATATTATTATATGCACAAAAGCCAAGTATCATCTACCATGTATTCAATTGTGAAAGCAGAGTAGCATCATATTTTTATTACTTCAAAGTTTCAAAGAAAATTAAATTTCAGCATTAAATGACCCATAAAGAGTTGATATGCTGTTAAACAAATCAGTTAAATCATGACAGGTGTGTGAAGACAAATTAGGAAGTTAGTATAAAGAGGATAGATAACAGTTGACTCTGGACTTGAAGAGGTTAAGATTATGGTGTTCGGTGAAATAGACACGTTGTAGTAGCAACTCTTGGGAAGAAGCTGTCTGAGTGAAATTTCCTTCTTATAAATGGAATACAAAGGGATGAGGATGGTTTGACTCTGTGGGTATAGCATGGTTTGTCTTAGCTCTAAATGTCTGAACTGATGGAACTTTTGTTAATAAAAAATCTTTTTGTTTGATTTTCTGAGGCTGATTTAAATTTTATAATCTATCTTGGCAGTTTAGAGATAAAAAAAAATTGTCTTAAAAGTAAAATCCTGAAATATATCAAATTTTATTTTACATTTAATTACAACATTTCACTAACCTGGTTGGTGTATAAAATCCTTTCATTCAATTATTAAAAAAAAAAACAGACTTTACCTTTGACAAATCTCAGATTGATCAAGAATTGGATATTTTTTTTCTATAGACAAATCATCTTGGTTTGTTAAGTGTATTTTGATTTGAATAATAACACTTTGATTAATAGAAATCATGCCGAGAATATATTTCATTCTTTGATGAGATGATGATATATTGATTCATTTGAACCAGATTCCTCATCTTTGTTGCTTTGATCACATTTCACCTGTTCCGTAGCCTTCTCAAGTCATTAATCTTTTGGAAATATTAAATGGAGCCTTTTGCTTTGATTCATAGGAGTATGCTGTCTCCATTACCCACATCCAATGTCTTTAAGTTCAAATCCAGTGTCAGGTAGTCCTCAGGAGAGAAGCAAATTGATGTCATGAGGTATTGACAGTTATAAGTTCTGAAATTTTCTACAGATAAGGCCACCAGATAAATTTGATAAATGGAAAAATGTTTGATTGAAATTAGATTTGATTATGCATTGCACCTTTCTAGGCATCATCAGATCCCAAAACAAAAATGTGTGTGTATGTTTGAGTTTGCTTAAATAATGAATCCTAGTACTTTTTCTCTAAGCTGGCATTTCTTGTGATTAAAGATGAGAATGAGTGATTTTTTTTTAAAATTTTATTTATTTTGTATCTTTTCTTTATAATTCTTAGTTCATACTGAAAGTTACATTTTTTTAGCTTTTATTTTTTTGTATTGGCTTAAAGGCTTCAGAATGGCTTGAAAGCAAGTGATTAATATAGCCTTTTCTGAAATGAATTAAGTAAATCCTTATCCAATCCTTCAGAATGTGTCTATTGGTTTATATTTTTAGGTTTGTCCATGTGCTTTTAAAACTATTAAATGCAACAGACAATTAAAGGCCAATAAACATGCTGCCTCCTATAGGATGCTAGTCTAACAATCAAACAGTAAGTCTTGCTTAAGTGATAAGGTGGTCTTACACTGTATCATGTTGAAACCAGTTCTCATATGATCACCAAAGTTAAGCAACATCGAGCCTGGGTGACTGCCTGGGAATACTAGGTGCTGTAAGCTGAGATGTGTTGGTGGCAGAGTGGATAATGGCTCGGAATTGTAAATCAGGGAGCCAGGTTCCAATTCCTGTTGGGTTTGTTATATTCACTTACACGCAAATACCCTTGAAAAAGTCATAAAAAACAGTAGAAAGTTTTGTTACTTGTTCATTATTAAAAGTCCAAGTTTTAGTATTATTAATATTTCATCAGTATTTTTCCTACACGTTGCATCTTTTGTTTAGTTTTAAGTTCCTTGTTGCTCCTAACCGGTTAAAGATGTTTATTAATTCATTTTATCTTAATTTTGCTTAAGAACAAATGGGACTTGTGGTGTTTATGATCATGATGATTATTCACATTGGATTCACCTCTACTCCCTCCAGTTATGTGTTAATTTGTAAAATCACTAAGCTAGTATTATCATAATCCCTTCTCTCAGCGTAGACATGTATATACGTTTTTACCGAAAGTCTCTTTTTCAGACACAGACAAATAAACACGTCCAAAACATAACTTTCAAAAACCAGTTACAGACGTATTTATCAGTTGATCTTGATTCTTTTTATGCTCTTCTGAGCTTGAAATGAGTCTAATTGTCAACTTGTACATCTAGTAGAGGTTTTAGCCACCACTCTGATACTTTAAAGTGCCTCAGTTTCTTAGTTACTATATTAGAAATGAATAAAAAAAATTGTCTGAAAATGAAACATTTTTTCCAAAATAATTGGCAGGGAAGGGGTTAAAAAAATTCTTACAATCTAAAAATATTGTTTAGCTTTAAATAACCTACAAAGGGTTGATAAGCTGTAGAAAAGGAAGCAATCAAATATATTTTAAACAACAAAATCTAGATCATTAGTATTGAAGAAAGGGATTGCTACAGAAAAGTTCCATTTTAAAATTTCAGCTTAATTAGTAGAACTTATATCAGTGAATCATTAAAATATTTTCTGGCTTTAAATAACTTGCAAATGTTGATAAGCTGTAAAAAAAAAAAATCAAATTTAGTGATGAGACTAAATTGGAGACTTAAGATACTCTTATGAGTGATTCATATATTAATATACAAATAGAATCCCTGACAACTAGACTAAGAAGGCCTTCCAAATGTGAGGAATTGGTTACAAAGTCCGGATATGAGGGGGTTATATTTAGTTTAAAATAAAAACTGAAATCAGGCTTAACATTTATTTTCAATGTTTTAGAGTAAACAAAATAAGCTAATGGTGAGTGAAATATAACAGAATTGATTTTAAGGAAAAAGAAATAAATTATGTAATGTTAATGAAAATTCATTATGTATGCAAAACAAATAATGTAACGAGGATTTTTTAATCACTGTTGCATGATGATTCTTTCTCTTCTAATGGCATTCTCAACTTTTTCCACATTTTGTTTTGCTTTTCTTGAAATTTTTTAAATGAAATACACTTTTTAACTCTGTGTATGTTATTGCAATCATCATAGCTGAACGCTGGCTTTTTTTCCATAAAACTGACAACCTTTTCAATAGCTTTTTTAATTTCAGCCAAGGCTTCATCACAATCATGTTTTTTATTTCCTTGTTCATTGTGACAGTGTGAACACTAGAGAATAGTTTCTTTGGAAGATTTTATATCATACAATGTTGACTTTCCTATGTTGAACTCAGCCATTAGTTACAGTGAACTTTCACCAGTGTCTAGTTTGTTTAAAATTTCCACTTTTTGCAATAACTCCAAAGTTGCCCTTTCCGTCTTATTCCCATCATCTTTTGCACCAATACAAACCATTAGGGTGAAATAAGCCTAAGCAATTACCCAAAGTAAATTTCCTGAAAAACAAATTTTAAATCACTTACATATCACCCAAATAGTTCAAATATACATATCAAAATTATGTCCAGATATGTGGGATTCCACTGTATAACATTTTTCTCTTTTATGATTTGAGATAATTACACCTGGTAAATGTAGAGACAATAGGAGTTTTTAATATCCCTTTACCTGGGTTATTTACACAGATTCATTGTCTGGTATTAAGATTGAAAGCCTCTGTCAGTATCCTGTATCATACTTACAAAGCTATCTGTTTTATCCATATTTTATTTCAAAGAAAACCATATGAACAATTCTAAGGTGGAACAAAATATGCAGCAAATATAGAAATATTTAGATCAAGTGTATTTTTTCATGTATCGTGATATAATAAAAAAGTAGAGGGAAATCAAATTTGAGGAATTATTTTATTTTTTTAATATTCTGTGCAGTTATTTTTAAAATTCCAAACTAATCTTTTTTTGCTGACCTGTCAATGTTGACAATATCATATCTATTTTTGTGCAATTGCAAAGGTTGGCAATTATGGATAAGTGTCTATCACTCTTTGTGACATGCTAGAAACGAGCTGGTGGAACATGAGTGTAGGAACTGTTAGTTTTGTGCCTTTTAAAATATCATTATTATTATTATACAACTGCCAATAACAGTTCTGACCAAAATTTGAATGTGCTTCTGAATTTCATTTTTCCAAATTCTTTTGACAGAGTTAACATTAGAAATGATAACTTTCCTCTTCAGGGTTTGAACATAGACATTTTTTTCTTTTTATCTTCATGTAACAAATTTTCTAGCAGCCCTTTTTTACTGTCTTTGTGAATGTTCAGTTAATTTTTTTTTTTTTTTTTTTTTTACTTAGGATCACTCCTAGCAATGCCACTAAAACATGGGGTTGTAGAAGAATTAGGAACAGAAACATTAATGATTAGCAGAAAGAGAAGAGAGTAATCGGGTGGACAGCAGATAGCAATTGACATTGCATTTACATTTTTGCAGATTAAAGTTGGCTGGAAAGCATAGAGCCAGAATGGAATTCCACAAGCAAGAAGTGCAAAAGAAGAAACTGTTAGCATAGAATTTACGGTTACATCTTGCCAGCTCGGCCGTAAATTGATGTGATCTCAATGCCAGTCTAGTACTGTGCTTAAATTCGTAAAGTCGAGGTACCATAGCAAAGAGATCATCCAAACAATTACCATGAAAGTATTTATAGAAAAGACATAGACCATCTTACAGTGGTGGGAAAGTGACTGGAGCTGAGCTGCCAGATCAGGACCAATAATATTGCAGATACTTCTTTGGATCTTATCAAGGAGCTCAAAGTAAATACAGGCATCGGACCATATGTAGCAGCAATATTTTAAGCATGGATGAATGGTAGACTTATAGATATGTAAGGTAGATTCTGGAGAGAAAAATTGCCTTGCTCAACATAGTGAACTGACTTTCTTAGCAGCTGACATAGCAATGGATTCAATATAGTCATTAACGTCATATCAGCACAGAACATGAGCCCAAAAAGGTGTAACAAGTTATTTTCTGGAAGATAGCATTGACTGTGTTTATGGAAGTCAGCAAGGGGTCTCTCAGATGATTAATGGAGAGAAGTTTAGTTTTGGAGGCATTAAAATTAACAAGCCATATTTTGCCCCAATTAACTATGGACTTGAATATATAACCTCCGGTTTATTAAATTTGGTGCATAAAATTTTGTTTTTTGCAATCTTCCTGATGATTGAGATATTTGCGTGTTTAAACCTGATCTCAACCAGTGGTGTTCTACAATTGGCTTTGTGCCACTTTAGACAAAACTTAGTAATTTATCCTTCTATTGTTTTTTCAGGAACACAAGAAAATAATGTTCTACTTTCCAAAGAAAATAGATCTGGATACAAAAATTAAGCAAATTGGTCTCAGTGAAGCCATTGTACAATTTACAAAGTAAGTAAAAGTTTATTTCTATTTATTTTAGTAATTGTTTTGCATGACCAGATCATTATTATTTATTATACACTGATGGTGCTTATCCCAAGCATAACTTTTCTGTCAATTACCCTTGGAAGCTAAAAACAAAAAAAGCACAGTATTCTTATTATATTGAGAACACTTTTATTTGAAAAAGCTTCTAAACCTTGAAGGTGAATCTCAGAAATGAAAGTAAATAAAGATATTTTTTTTTTTTTGTTTTTTTTATAATCTTTTCATCCCAAGCAAGGTAACAAAGCCACTAACATGCATGGGGTTACTGTGTGTGAAAGAATATAGCAAAAGCATTGTTAAGCAGTAAGAAGAAAGAAAGAAGACAAGATAATGATTGACTTTGCATTCAAATTTTTGAAAGTCAAACTTGACTGAAAAGCAAGAAGTCGGACGATTTACACAAATGAGAAAAGAAACTGTTAGCAGGTTACATCTCACCATTTCAACTGTAAAATGATGAGACCTAGCTTCCAATCTAGTACTACTCTTAAATTCATAGTCTAAGTACCATAGAGAACAATTACCATGAAAATATATATAGAAAATATTTATAGAAAAGGCACAGGGAAGCTACATTACAGTGGTGAGAAAATGACTGAAGCCAAGATGTCACAACCAATAATATTGCAGATTCTTCTTTGGATTTTATCAAGGATCACTAAATATACAGCAGGGTCCCCAGACTATAAATGACAGCAATATTCTAAGCCTGGATGAATGGTAGACTTGTAAATATGCAAGATAGATTCAGATGAGAAAAATTGTCTCGTACAAAACAGAGAACCAACTTTCCTAGCAATTGATTTTAATTATTTTATATTTTGGACTTTAGCAAATATCAAATGTATTAATTTCTCATAATTTTTACACATATTTTTAGTTGTTGTCTTATTATTATTATTACTATATATCTCTTCCGAGTTCATCCTTCACATCTACAAATCTACCATTTGTCCGTGCATTGAACACTGTTGCCATATATGGTCTGGTGCCCCACTGTTCATCTCAAGGTTCTTGACAAAATCTAAAGATTGATATGCAATGTGATTGGTCCTGGGCTGGTATATTGACTCCAATCACTTTCTCACAGTGATGTGGCTTCCCTCATTCTTTTCTACAAATATTTTCATGGCAACTGCTCTGACGAGCTATTTTCATTGGTGCCCTGGCTGCATGAATTTAAGAGTGCTGCTAGGTTGGCATTTCGGTCCCACCCTTTTACTGTTGAAACAGTTAAATGTAACTGCCTCTTCTACTCCAACAGCTTCTTCTCTTGCACTTGTCAACAGTGGAACTCCCTTCCTCTTACTTCCCCAATAATTATAATCTTCAAAAAATGAACATCTTCTGATGCCTTGATCCCTGTTCTTCTTTTTATCCTTTCCTCAACTCCCCACCACTATACCCAGTCTCTTATCTTCACTTTCTCTAACTTCTTGCATACTAGTGGCACTCCCGCCATGCGTGAAACACTGGTTCCTGTGTGATCGACAAAGTTAAGCAACATCGAGACTGGTCAGTACCTAGATAGGTGACCACTTGGGAATACCAGCTGTTGTAAGCTTGAATGTGCAGCTGGTGCAATGGATAATAGCTCTGAATTGTTAATCAGAGAGCCAAGTTCTAATTCCTGTTGGGTTTGTTATATTATATATGCAAATATCCATGCAAAAGGTATGAATCCACCTTTTCTCTCCTCACGTTATGGGTTAATTAGTAAAACTTGTATCACTAAACCATTATTATCTCCCCCCCCCAAGTTATTACAGTCTAAAAATATTTTCTAGCTTTAAATATCTTTCAAAGGAATAAGCCATAGAAATTGAATAAATGAATCTATATATATATATATATATATATATACACATTCACTCCCTACATTGTTAATTGGTTCCAGAGGTCACAACTTAGGTTGAAATAACTGTACTATAAATCACAAATAAGCACTCCCCATTGTATATTACAGTATTTATGATATGTACATACAGTATTCTGAATAAAATAATTTATCAGCAATATAACCTTATGCTTAGCATTAGCAATAAAAGAATGGTCTGGCAATTTTTTCCCGTATAATTCAATTTTGTCAATGTTAAAAATCTGTTCAGGAAGAAACCCGTTTTCTTCAGTGATCTTAGCCAATGCTTTAGGAAAATTGGCTGCTGCTTGTTCGTCAGCTGATGCACTTTCACCTTGCTTCTTAATAAAGTAATAACTTCTTCATTCTTTAAATCTCATAAACCAGCCTTGACTCGCTTTAAATTCTACATCTTCCTCATCTGGGTATTTTTTTGTTCAGGTCTTCAAACAAAGACAACGCTTTTGCTTGAATGATTTCTTGACTAATAGCAGCATGATGATGATTCAATTTATCAATCCAAAGAGAAAGAAGTTGTTTCAGCTCTTCAAAGATTTTTCCTCTTTTCTTATTGATAACAGTATTCTTCATCCCTGGGGCATCAGATTTAATATGTGCCAAAATCATATCCTTATTGTGAACAATCGTCGATACAGTTGTCCAACTCATTCCAGAAGATCAAGCAATCGATATAATGCTTTCACCTTTTTCATGGCATTTTATCATAGTAAGTTTATCATCCAGCATTATAGCATGACGTTTAGCACTTGCACAAGGAATTTTCTTAGGAGCTTTGGGGCAAAATATAAAGTTACAAATGAATGAGAGAATAGGCGATAACCAGACGTATACTGTGCGTATGCCTAAACTAAACTGGATTTCAATTTTGTGGAAATCACGAGTGGCACTGAAAACAATGCCAAATGGTAGATATTGGAACTACTGTGGAAAATGCCAATATTGACCTCTTAAAGACTGCTAAATAAAACAACAACACAGAGTCACAGATGTTTTCATATTTCGTTCTCTAGGATTTATGATGATTATATTAACAATTACTGTAAATGTACATATTTTAAAATAATTTTATATACTTTTATTCTTATTTATTGTACAGTAACATGATTTTATGTGCTTTTAACGCTTTTCTAGTCATATTACAACTTCAATATTTGTGTCGGACAGACGTAAAGTCGAATAAAATGACTTAAACTTAATTTTTATTTTTCCATATATTTTTTTGACAAACGGCATAATCGAGAACAACTTAATTCAAAACAACATAACCCGAACTTATACCTGTATGTATATGTATGTGTGTGTGTGTGTGGGTGTGTGTATATATATATATATATAATCCAGAGGTCCTTATGTAACAAGGTAATAATTATTTAAAACAAAAACGTTATAATAAAAAGAGAATTATAGCATTATTCTCTCTCTTACTCACTCACTGTTGTAGAGTAGTTTTCACAGTGGTGGCTTGTATTTCAATAAGTCGTCCTAAATTAGGTTCAACGTACAAAATGTTAGGAACTTGGAAATAAGAGTTAATGATGCAGCAATCTAGTTGTGATGGTTGGTACTTCAATGTCCGATATTGACTGACTTGCTCAACACCACTGAGCCATACTGGCGACTGCTACTACTACTTATTATCTGTGGGAGAGTCCATTACAATAGAATAGGTATTATGGCATAACACTCACACACACACATCCTCTTAGAAGTTGGTTCCACATAGCAAGTGGTTGGTGGGAAGAAACTGTAGAACTTCTATCTCACCTATGGAATACAATGGGAATGAGGGTGGCATGGTGGGTCTTAGCCATGAAGGTTGCAACTAAGGAATATAGTTTGTCTTAGCTCTTTCCATGGAATTAGTGATAGAGCAGTAAGAGGTTTGCAATGTTTCATCTGTAGGTTGTTAGGTGGAAAATAACTTGTCACCCATAAGGATGCAGAGACACTTGGACTTTACCAAAACTGGAAAGTGAAGACTGGACAGCTCCTGCCCATATATGGCAGCAGTATTCCATTTTCAATCTGATCTTGTTCTTGTGAAAGTAAAGGATAATAGGATGAGTCAGGTACGTACTGGAGTTGTATAAGGAACCAACCATTTTTCCAGCATCTTTAGTGATCATATTTATGAGTCCCAGTTTGTTTCAATAGGTGCTCAATGCATGGGACCCCGCTGATGGAACATCTGTTCATTGTGATTGATGAAAGTTCTGGGTTTGATTAGCAATGATGAAATGTCACTAGTTTGGTTTTCGAGACATAGAATATGACCAGCCAGTTTTTCTCCCACTGTGCTGTTTGAGCTAGGTCAGAGGTGAGTGATTGGTAGAAGGTGAGAGTTCTTCATAAAACTTCTGAGGAACGTGAGAGAACTGACACGATGAAGATAAGTTTTAAAAACTCTCTGAATAGCACATTATTGAAAATATTTTTATATTCATCTGCTTTTATTTATTTATTTTTTTACTTTGATTTGTTTCCATTCATATATATATTGATTAAATATGAAATCTTATTCCACAAAACCCTTATTCTGTTTTTCTTGTAGAACTTTTTCTGATCGACCATGTCAGAGTTTACACACGCAGAAACATAGACATATCTTTTATGAGCCTGAAAAAAGTTTCTGGATGGTTGTGGTGAGTTGATTTGTGTTTTAAAACAAATTCCATTTGGCATTGATCAAATGTAAATAAACTTTGGGTCATTTTCATAAGCCAACTACTCAATTCTTGTATTTTATGAACTATTCTCATTATTGTGTTTTTTTATTTTTTATTTGTGTGTGTGTTTGTCAATTCATCCATCAACTTTCTTGAGGTGTATGTTGTATTTTGTCTTTAGAATTTGCTTTGTACTCGCCCCTTTCTTTCTTTTGCCTTTCTCTTGCCTTTAATTAAATTTTAAGGATATATTCACAAATCTTGATAATGATTTTGAAAAAAATAAAATATCAGCTTTTCATATTTATATTAGTTAAAAGCAGGACTCGTTGGAAAATTTAAATCATCCATTTGTTTTTGTCAAATGGAAATACCATTTACTAGGTGGAATTGTAAAATAAAAAAATTCAACAAAACTATGACATCATTAATTGGGAAAGGTTTTAATTGCTTTTATAAATAAGATATATTTAGGATACTATTTTCTTAAAAAATCTTTTCAAACACCAAGATTTTTAAAAGAACTTTGAATTTTTTTTGTTTTTATGTGGATAAATGGGCTGTTTTTTAAAAATATGGGTGACCATACACAACATTACCAGAAAATAAGAGTGATGACTATAGTAAATTTAAAGTCAACATTCCTAAAATTAGATTATGGAAAATATTTTCCAAAATTTTTAAGATTACTCAGTACTTAAAAAAAATTATATAAAAAAAAAAGGTGCTCACGTCATTTTCTTAAATTATGTTTTATGGATATCTCCATAGAACAATAATCAATCTATCACCTTGTCAAATGCACAAACATGGCTATTGTTGGTTAAAAACACAGCTACTGTTTGCTTAAAAAAATTAATTTCTGTGATATTTTAAACTTAAAGTAAATAATATTTGTTTCAGATCGGATTAATTATACTTTAAATCAAATAATATTCCTCAAATAAGAAAAGTATATTTTATTTTTTGAAAATTTTTTTAATAAAGAGAATTACTTTGGGATGAAAGAGGACTAAAAAAGGGCACTAATCAGCTATTTTAGCAAAAAAAAATATTTCCAGACAATTTAGTTTTTGAAATACTTTGCAATACAGCAAAGTCTTTGCTGTATTTCAAAAACTAAATTGTCTGGAAATTTCCTTCTTTCTTTCTTTCCTTCTTTCTTTCTTTCACTCTTTCTTTCTTTCACTCTTTCTTTCTTTCACTCTTTCACTCACTCACTCTTTCACTCACTCACTCTTTCACTCACTCACTCTTTCACTCTTTCTTTCTTTCTTTCACTCTTTCACTCACTCACTCTTTCTTTCTTTTCCTCTTTCCTTTTTTTTTTCTTTTCTTTCTTTTTTTCCTCACTCTTTCTTTCTTTCACTCCTCCTCCTCTTTCTTTCTTTCACTCCTCCTCCTCTTTCTTTCTTTCCTCCTCCTCCTCTTTTCTTTCTTTCTTTCTTTCCTCCTCCTTTCTTTCTTTCTTTTCCTCCTCCTCCTCTTTCTTTTTCTTTCACTCACTCACTCTTTCTTTTTCTTTCACTCACTCACTCTTTCTTTCTTTCACTCACTCACTCTTTCTTTTCTTTTCCTCTCTTTCTTTTCTTTCACTCTTTTCACTTTTCTTTCACTCCTCACTCTTTCTTTTTTCTTTCACTCCTCTTTCTTTCTTTCTTTCACTCACTCTTTCTTTCTTTCTTTCACTCACTCTTTCTTTCTTTCTTTCACTCACTCTTTCTTTCTTTCTTTCACTCACTCTTTCTTTCTTTCTTTCACTCACTCTTTCTTTCTTTTTTTCTTTCTTTCTTTCTTTCTTTCTTTGACTCACTCACTCATTCACTCTTTCTTTCTTTTTTTTTTCACTTACTTTTTCTTTCTTTGAGTGATGAGATGTGTAGGTGGCATGAAATAGACATTAATGTTGCCATACCAGACACTTGGTCCATTTTTGTTTTAAATTCATTTTTGTATTTTTAAAACTTTTATTCTGTCAGTTTTAAAAAAAACTTTCTGTCCTAATTATCAAAAAATATATTTCTTAATTGAACTGTGATTAAATGTAAAAACTGTTTTTGTATTGCATTTATTAATTTAATTAAAGCAAAATAGTTGTTTTTTAATTAAAAAAAGTAGTTGTTTTGTCAATTTAAGTGATTCAACATGATTAAAATTGTTTTTAGAGACAATGGTAAAAAAAAAATTAGTCTGTCACCTTGCAGACACAACAATTTATTAAGAAACTTTAGTTGGCACTCATTGAATTTCCCAGGGACCCACCCAAATTAACACCTGTGGGTCCTAGGGACTCACTACTGATAATGCCAATGGAAGCTGATCACTTTGCAGTTATTTTCACAGACTTCTTTTTTCTTCTCTCTAACCTGTAAAATCTCTTGCTTTCTCTCTCTCTCATATCATCACAAGTCCCATAATCCATGGAGTGGGGGCACTAAATGTGGATGTGTCTAAGATAAGTCAGCTAGACAGAGCCCTTTAGGCTGGTGTCGATTTCAGTTTTTCTTCTAGACTGGTTGCCACCCAAAGTTAGAGAGCCATGTCTGTTCTGTTATTAAGCCTTAGCTGCATTGGTGAGAGAGAGATGGATTCATACTTTCCCAAGGGTATTTATGGGAAAAGCAAACACAATGGTCCCAGCTGGAATTTCAGTTCACTATGCCAATCCCACTTCCTGTGCCGAAAACCACCACACTACACACATACACCTCTCTTATATACATGTTAAAACTTTAACTATGTACGCATTTACTATTTTACAAGTATGTAGATACACTAAATGTTTACGTGGAGTTGAGTATCAGCTACAGGCATTTGTAACAGACATAACTATTTTGTTTGGTAGCCAAGGCAGTTACGTTTGTTGCAATACCTACATGATATAAATCTGTGTGTGTATAAGTGTATTTATATTAGTGGGAGTTGAACAATACATTGCTTTACTAAATACTGGGTATTATTGCCAATGTTGGAATTGAAACCAATCCTTACATTTGGATATGATCGGTAATCTTTCTATCGAATAAACAAAAAACAACTTTTCTTTTTATAATGGAACATTTGATATTGCAAGTAACAAGTCTGTCTCAAAGCCTTAAAATATTGCACCCCCCCCACATTCAAATTTCCCTCTTAAAGGGTAAACAATTCCAGATTAATCACTGGAATCTTTTAAATTTTCTAGAAATACATGCAGTGACTAAAAAAGAAAAATCATTTAATTCTTAATCAAAATACATTTTTATTTTCAGATTATTCTTGTTCCATTCAGTGAAAAAATTAAAGATGGCCAATCATATATAGAATATCATGAAGAAGACGTTCAGGACTTGGTCTATGAATCTGTCTTGAAACAAGCATATAGAATGTTTAAGGTAAGTTTCATTATGTTTCTGACTTTATATTTTTATGCACATAATCAAGTGCTGTTAAACAGCTGAACACAAAATAGTATTTTTTTTTTTTTTTTTTAATCAATTCACCCAATAAAACACAAGTGAAAAGTCTTTAGTAGGAACTAGAGACAAGGGATAAACCTCTACTCCTGTCCAAATACCAGGGAGGAGGTTGAATCTATTACTTCTATTGAAGGAAGGAAAAAATAAATAGCAAATAAAATTTCAGAGTTTAGGTGGAGACATTAGAAGTATAGCATTGAAGTAGACTTTGGAAGGAACTGGAAATCCAATCCTAAATGGAGGAACAAGGGATAAACTCTTGTACAAAAGAATTAAAATGACACAGACAATATTTGTGAGAAATATAAGATTTGGAAATAAGGATTCAGTGTTGAATTAGTGAAAAGAAAAGAAAAAAAAAACCCTGCTAAGGAAAAACAAAGGAATTACAGGGCATGGTATTAGCATACTGTAATTCCCCATGTATAATACCCTTTTTTTTTTTTTTCTAAAAATTAATAAGCAAAATCAGGGGTGTATATTATGCACAGTTGCAAAAAAAATCTTTAAAAATTGTCATAAAATAAAATAAGAATTATCATAAAAATAAATTAGAACAATAATATTCTATGTTTAAAACCTTTTTTTTAAATAAGAGTAGAAAACACTGGTTGTAATGAAATTGGAGCAGTACAATTTATAGGGTTTGATTATCAAACAAAGGGTGCGTATTATGCATAAGTAAGCATTTTCCCACACTTTCAGCATAATTTTAGGGGTGCATATTATGGATGAAGGTGTATTATACATAGGGAATTACAGTAATAATATTTATGGATTAACTGCTACCTGAATGGCATTCCTTATCAACCAGATGTTGTGGCTACAATGTTTGTAGGTGATTATTGTAGTATTATTTGCACAGGTGTCCTATTGTTTAACATGATATCAAGAAGTCGGATAATCTTGAGAGAAGTGAATATGTGATTATCAAAAAGAGCCTCAAGTGACCAGAAAATTTGAGTAAGGAAAAGTGCCATAGTTAGAGTAATTTCTAGATAAAATTTTTTCCACACCATTGTCAATATTTTATCATTGAAAATGGGGAATCTTTGAAGGCAGTTGAGACAGTATACCAGAAATGAAACATGTGCAATATATTGTACTTGTTTACTCAAACCATCAAGGATTGACAGCAATATTTTAGTAATTTTGCAATTGTTTATATTTTCTGTATAAGTAATCTAGAATATTTATCTATGTAATTAACTTGTTTATTACCTGACAAAATTTTGCTTTTTTTTAAAAATCATTAAAATAAAAATATCAAAAGAAATCTGTTAAAAAAAAAATAAATAAAACATCAGTGTATTAGCAACCTGTTCTCACTACTTACTAAGTAGATATTCACTTAGTGGCTTTGAGTAATACTACCTAGTTCTATAACATTGGACTATTTCATCTAAATAAACGGCAAATTCTGTCTGTCCAAAACTCCTCTAACTCAGGCCACACTTACTCTACATAGACATATTATACCTTTTTGGAATCAGGATGATCACAGGATTAAAAATATGCCCTTCATCTGGTGCTTGAACATCCAGCATTGGGTTTTATGTCTGGATGAAGAGGGAACAGTTAAAAATTCAAATTTTAAAATAACTGAAGAAAAAAAAATTAGTGATTTTAAAAGTTTTAAATTTATATTGAGTTTAAAGTAATGCAAAAACTTTGTGAATTTAAAAATTTTTGTTTTAAATTCAGTTTCAAATACTGCCAAAACTTTGTGGATTGAGGAAATCAATTTTATTTCTTCAAATGTCAAGGAATTATTGGTTATTGAATTGCTAAAAGATTGATAAATACAGTTTGTGTTATGAAGCACTGTTTGAATCCAGGATATTAATAAAAGTAAAGCAACAAAAGGATGTGTTTGATGGTTGGGCATTGGGCTTCTGAAAATGATGTCAGTTGATCAAGATACTTGGTCTCTTCATACAACAGTTTTTAGTTTTGTTTTTGTTTTTTCAAGCCCATAGCTATTTCAGTTTACCAACATGTGCTTTGATTTGAGAGGCTTCATTAAGTGTATCCATGAGAAACGCTTTTTCATAAAAATTTGTACATTAAATTGCAGCTAACTGGATCATTATGGGGAAAATAGGCCAATTTGGCCCAATTAGGTGGCTTTACTTTCTGAGTTACAAATAGACAGGCTGGGATGATTATTGACTTCTAGCCCATTTGTTGGAAACTCAAAAGTAGTAGGAGACATAAAATGATTTTTTTCTGTTTATAATCAGTTAATAAGCTGAACATTTACTATTAAACAAAAACCAATTTAATAACTTTTTAGGCCAGAAATGTTAAACATTCTATGCCATATAGATTTAATAACTTATTGTCGCCCTTAATGTTCATTGATTGCTATAGTCTCTGAAATAGCTGCCTGTGAACAACATCTGTGCCAGTATCAATTAGATTACCTTTATTAACTTCTTGTATAAAATAGTGTAATCTGTTTATAAGAATTTTGTATAAACTGATTCATATAATTAATAGTGCTACTCTAAAAGACTGCTTACAATAGATAAAGAAAAATACTGTTCAGACAGAGACTGGCATTGTAGTGAGTACGTCAACAAAGATCCAACTACCAAATCACTTTGATTTGTTCATATAGTATGAAATAAATGAGTTGGTGGCTAAAATAAGCAAGGGAATTATTACAAATTATTCTCAAATAAAGAAATGACTTTATTATTGCAATCTTCTGTACAATCTATTTAAGCTGTGTGTGTGTAAAAAAGAAAAAAGTGCAGTGTTTTTAATATTAATCAGAGCAGATACTAAGAAAATTTATTGAAAAAAAAAAAACAAGAATAAACTTCATAACTAAAATTTAAAACTTTATATATCAAGTATAGTGTGAGATTTTATGATCAGTTTTTTCCACAAAAAATAAATGGTTGTACTGTAACACTTTTTGCCTATGCTCAGTGGTAACCATGTTTAGTGGTCTGGTCCTCAGGGGTTTTAATCTAAGTCTGCACTGGTCGATTCTGACGCTGGTCCAAGTTGGTTGTTGGCTGCCTTGATCCACACAGTTTCTGCCCATGTTGTGTTCTTGATTTCAGAGCAGTAGAAGGTCATAGTCTCACAGTGCTGGTCCTATATTAACAAAAAAATGAAATGAGAGATTTGTGGGATTAATCTTCAATTGGTTTATATAGCTCTTGGTACAACAAAAATTAACCCTTCCTGCAGCAATCTTTCTAGTGACATTGGGCCTTGTCTAAACTTCTGAAAGCACTCAGTGTGTAATCTCAGCCCAAAATCTTTGTGCTCCCCAAAGTCATCTGCTTATATGCACTTTGGCACAAAACTGGCATGTGACCAAAGGGTTCTGGGAGTTTATTGATTCTTTAATTTTCATTAATTCAAATAAGGGTTTTCTTTGTTTCCAATTTCTGTTTCTTAATCAACTTTCCAAATTTGGAAAATTATCCACCTTCCCTGGGAGTAGTCACCGGGATTGCTTTTCCCCTAGCTCCCACCTGCTTCACTTCACATCTCTCACCACTACTTTGCACAGGAGGGGCTCATCTCTGCCCCTTCCTTCTTGGTATTCTAACTCTGCCCACTTTTTAGAGCGCATAACTGTTTTTGTGACAAATCTAATTTTTAAAATGTGTAGGAGAACGGGTATGGTTTATTCTCCTCATTAATTTTAATTCTCCAAATCTTTTTGCACAAAACCAGAACACCTTCTCTTGGCATGATATGATTGATCTTCATAACCTCAGCCCTAAGAAAAAAGATTTGTCCCTTGTTTTCATTTTCCTCAACAAAAAATAGGATTCTTATTTGTTTCTCTTTCTGTTAATGATTTTTTCTAATTTTTCCAGGAAGAGATGAACTTATTTCCCAAATCTGTTTTCGTCAATGAAAATATATTTGTTTACCTAAATTCTCAACAAAGAGACTCTCTGTTTTCTATCCCTGGACCAGTCACCATGTCAGCAAAAACTCAAACCATATCACCTACTTGGCATGACATGAGTGATCTTCATGACTTCAGTTCTATGGGTTTCTTCTGTTTTCGTTTTCATCAACAAAGAATGTTTCCCTAATTTATCAAGAAAGAGATAAAGAGATAAAGCCATTTCTTCGAGTCTGTTTTCATCCACATACCAGGCTCTTGATAGATGAGAAAAATAAAGTTTTCGGTGACGTCCTATTTTCACTAATGAAAATGTCTCCACTCCCTCACTCACTTCCAGGCTATATTTCATTTTGGTTTAACCCTTTTCTTTTCCTGCTTAGGATTAATTTTTAACCACCTTACCACTTTAGTGTCGCAGTACTATACACAAGTTTTTTTTTTTTTTTTTTTTTTTTGAAGAGGTTAAAAATCATGCATTTTCAGTGACCAGTTGCATTATACACCAGTAAATTTTTTTCTGGAGGGGTCAAAATTCATGCAAAAAATTTCAAGGGTTGCATTATACACAAAGTTGGTACATCTTTTTTTTTTCTCTCTCTCTCTAATTATAATATATAGTACAGACACACACACACTCTCTCTTATCAGGCATTTTACCCACTTATGATAATATTGAAATATAAAACAGTTTTTATATCTAATCTTTATTGTAAAATTTTACTCTTGGACTTTGAGTTAATTATAATTCCAATGTAAGACAATAAACAGAGCAATTATTTCAAGTTATAATGGAGGAGTGGGTGGTGTCTGTTTGACTTTCTAAGCTTTTTCATACAAAAAGCATCTTTTAAAGGCTATTTTAACAAGTCTTCATATTATTTGTATATATTTTATTTGGTAGTGAATAATCCAACAATTAAATCATAAGTTTTATTCACAATTTTTACTGCCCTCTTGATTAAACGTTCTCTAGTTAGGGAAAAAAAAACAATTTATTACATCTTTACACCCAAATCAAAATTTTTTTTTCTTTTCAGATTAGCACTTAAAAGATAATGCTATTTTTATTTTTACATGTGTATTTCTTGATTTAATTATATGTTTAATAGTCTGATTCTGTTTGTTAGTCATGGCTGCATTAATTCTAGGCCAGTCACAATCACTTTCAAACAAATTTCAGGTAAAAAAAATTTCAAGACTCCCTGCTTAACCATTTTCAAGTATTTTTTTTTTCCTGCAGGGCAAAAAAAAAAAAAAGACTAAATGTTGAGTGGTGAATAGCAATAAAGGTTTTGCAATAAAAAAAAGATAGAATTTCTGCTCTGTAACCCCTCCCCCAATCAAAAATATTGTGCAGAAAATGAATTGGTCTGTTATATGAAAGTTTATTTAAATATACATTTTAGAATATACAGGGTGTTTCAAAAGTCTGTCATATTTTAAGAACTCTTATATTATGAAGTACAAATGGTAGCTTAATTGAACTGATACCATTTAAAAGTTAAGTAACAAATTTTCTTTTGTTAATTTACTTTTTTTAAGTTAGACAGTATCTGAACACCACTCTGCTTCACAGATGAGTCAAGCATTTCAAACAGACTGATCGCATGTTCCTGCGATGGAAACCTAGGTGTTCAAACTTCACACCCTGTGACTTCTTGCACCGGCGGGTGGGTATGTGAAAGGCCTCATGTACATACTTCCCCTTCATAGAGACATGGATGATCTGAAGATGCAAATAACTAACTGAAGCTTTGGCAACCATCAACAACACTATGCTATGGATCATCGTTTGGATGTGTATTGTGTAACCCATGGCACTCACATTGAACACCTGTAAAAACCTGTATAGAAGCATGGAAATATTAGCTTTCAGGAAATAGAAATTGTTTTGATATCCTCAATAGTTATTTAGATATACAGTGTCATGTGATACAGACTTTTGAAACACCCTGTATTGTGTAAAATAGCATCTTAAAATATAAGCACTTTAGTTTTATGCTATATAAAAAAAAAAAAAAAAAAAACATTTTGATTTACAGTACAAAGGAATGTGGAAAAGTTCTTGTGTTGGGGTGGGTGGGAGTGACTTGCTCTGAAAGTAATGCCTCCTATTTTATTATGTTCCACAGCATTAGAGGTAGATGTTATTGGTATGGCAGCAAATGTTGAGCCTTGTTAACAATAATCTGTTTTTTTTTTTTTTTTTTTATTCATAAGCAGCAGTCTGGTAAAATGGCATTTGACATAAAAGTGTATACAAAGGAGAGATGTGTCATTGAATTAATCCATGCAGAAAAATTTTCACTCACTGTCATTCACCAACACTTACTGAACATTTATAAAACTCACACAGTAGATACAAACACAATTAAAGTGGTTAAATTTCACTGGTGGCAACAGCAATGTGTTTGTGTGTGTTTTATTTTTTTTTTTTACACAAACGTGATATAGGTTCTTTTTCAACACTGACATAAATACACAGTCAATGGAGATCACTCACTGTGGAAAAATAACATTGGATTGTTTATCAACAAAAATATCCAAATTTCATCTGCAGAAAAAGTTAAATTAAAACAATTCATTTGGCTATCCACAATTTTTACTTTTCATTCCATCTTTGCAAAATATTCCACAGGTTGTGTCATTTCTACACAGAAATGTTTGCAGTGAATAACACATTCTTACTCAAGCTGCAGTAATTTTGACTAATAATATCAAGTGTTATTGCATAAAGCAAATGTTTTAAAAATAAATTTCCAACTTTTTAGACCAGATTATGATCATGAGCCTCACAGGTGCAGCAATTGAGAAAACAACTTAGGCTTCCTGACTTTTTCAGTTGTGCACTGTAGACAAACTGGAAAAAATGGTTATAAATATCTACAAATATGCAATTTTATATTCAATGATGAGTTCTTCCAATATGTTCTTTCAGATTCCTTTGGTTTCTTTCATTTCAGTTGTTCAATGGCAGCTTTGAAAATATTCTGAGAAGATCCAAGCAATGTGTTACGGCCTTACAGCAACGGTTAGAATATTTCTTTACTCGGGTAAGATCTTTAACAAAAACTGGAACTAAATTTATGTGTGTGCTTTTTGTTTTTTGATTTTTTGTTTTTTTTTATTGGAAGAAACTCTTTCAGCTGTTTTAAAATGCTAGTTATCTCCCCTATTTTAAGACATGAACTACACAAAAGATGACTTTTCTTAATTTAACAAATTGATTCGTAAATATTAACGTTGTCTTTTTTTAATTATTTTCATTAAATATGTTAATATAAGGCACAAAAGTGGTCTTTTTGTCTTATTTTTAATTGGTCCAAGTAGTATGTACTTGGTAGTTTTTTTTCTGTTCAAGAAAAAATATTTGCCTGTTTCATCCAAGCTACTTTTTGATTATTTACAGATTTCTGTAGTTAGTACAATAAAAGATTTCTTCAAAAGAATTGGACTATCTGAATGTAAAAAAAAGACAAATCAACCTGAAAAAGTTTTCAAAATGGTGTTTGTTGTATTTTGGAATATCATCTTATTTCAAGCTGTATTTGTTCTTTTTAGAATTGTCCTCATTTGACCCACTTACTGAACTTCATGACATTCAAGTCAATTGGGTGGATGTTGGCAAATCTCCCATTTTTAGGTTCATGTTTTTGTAACCTCAAATTCATACTGATTATTGTTCTTGTTAATGTCTATGTACTGCTGATGGAATGATTGGAACTGTCTGTATACAAATCCCTTCAACCATTTATTTTCCAATACTGTTTCTATTCTAAAATTTAATTCTTTAACTGCTGGTGTTTCCTCTCTACTTTCCCGCTATACATGGGCAGTCACACCTTCCAATATTCATAGTCTTAAATGATTAAAACACTTAAATTAAAAGAATTCAGACAATATTGAGGCTTGCTTTTAAAAGAAACAATTTCCAAACTTTTTTTTTTAGTATTTACTCACCCTGAAGTTGTGTCAGAGTGACATCCTAGATGTTTTTGATGGAATCCAATTCTTACCATTGAATAAAAATACTTATTTGAGAATCAAATGCTTCATCAATCAGTTAGAAGCCCAGTTCCCAGAAGTCAAGTATACAGCATTCCTCTACAATGACCAACTGGTCTGGTAAGTTTCAGCTACCCTTCTCTACCTTTTCTTTTCTTTTTTTTTTCCCCACTGACTTAGCAAATATAAATTCACCATAATAACTGATTAGTCTTTCCTTTTTATTTTCATTACTTTTATACTATCAGAAGAAAATGACAAAGTGTCAAAAGATTTTTTTCTTTTCAAAAGAAAAATAATTATCATCAATAATTCCTATTTTGTTATTGAGAAAAGACATTCTATGTTATAGCGTTATCATCATTTATTTGCAATCAGTAAAGAGAACTGTGTTTCTGTTTGATATTTAGTATTGATGTGAACTTCCACAAAATGCCTACACACTTTCTTAAACATTTTCAGAATAAAAAAAATAGATGTTAGAATAAAATTTAGAAAGAAAATCATTTGTTGCTCTTTTAAAATGATACTATATTTGAAGTATTTAGTGCTTAGAAAGATTTTGCCATGTTTGAAGCTGATATATGCTGTGTATTTTTTGCTCACTAGATGAGAATCATTACAATAGATAAATTGTGTAATTTTCATCAATGTGAAGGAAATTGAAGGCATTTAAATACAAATGGAGAATCAAATAGGATTATAAAAAAAAATGAATGAAAATGGGTTTTTGTTTTATTTAAATTTCATATATGAATAGGAATACTTTTTAATAATATAGAATAATTATATATTTAAATATCATCTGGCTATATTTCTGAGGACAACAGTTCAAACAATGTAAATATATATATATATATATATAATACAATACAAATGCACCACCAAATCTTCTGTTATCATTTTCCAAAAAAAAATTAGTATGATTCAAATAACTCTATCCCCACTTTTGAAGGAGAAAAGATTTTAAAATAGTTCTCGAATTCTGCCATGAATAATCATTGTGAAAACTGTTTGTCAAGTGCCTGTTAAACTTGCAATTTTTCTTTTACACTCCTTGGATCAAAAAAGCAAACACTTGCCAATTTTTAAATCAATTTATACAGTAGTTTTACTGCTAATACATCTTCGAACATGCTCAGTCTTTAGTTGAAAGAATTAATCTATTATATGAAATTATTGTTTGATTGATAAACACTGCACATTTTTAAATCTGTAAGAAATAAACAAATTTAAAATTTTGTAAATGGATGATTGCTAAAGATTTACCAATGAGTCCGTTGCATATTTTATTGCTTTACAACCAAAGGCAAAATTGAATAACTGTTTCTCTTCATTCTTTTTATTTTTATTTTTTTTTCTTTTGCTTAGGAGTGGCCTTGAACAAGAAGATATGAGGATCATGTACCGTTATCTCATTACTGGCCTTTTCCCCAGTTACTTGGAACAAAACCTTCAGACAGAAAACATGTCCCCTGTACGACTGTCTGGAGCTACGACAGGAGCACAAATACATTACGGAAAGTAAGTTATGGCTAACCATTTTACTATATTTGTAGAAGTGGTGGGGATAATAATAACAACTCCTTGTTTCCAAGTATACACATTTGCTCTGGTGGCTAGCTAATCCCTGTTGCACGTACCTACTCAGGCCCATTTTTGTTTCTTCACCATCCACGGTGCCAACCTGTGGTTTATACTGCAACTATACTTAGCAGACCTTAGAGTTTCTGGAAAAAAAGCATGCAATATGGTGTAATCAGTAGTTGAATAAGGCCAGTAGGCTTGAATCCTCATGCACAGTGACTTATGACTAACACAACCATTGATAGCTCCTGGTTTTATCAACGTAATTTTAGTCTTGAGTCGATCCCTTGTATGATTTTCAGGAATGTCCTAACAGTGCTGCATGTTGGGATCCTCTCCCTAGACTGATACAATCAACACAAATACACCTAGGCAAGATTTGAACCCATGTCTCATGTTTGGAATGTTGACATTCTAACTATTCAGTCAACCATCCATGTTGACATATAAAAGGCATATTTAAATAACAAAAAAAACATTATACATCCATTACACATACAATGATGAGCATCTATAAAAAAATAGTTATTGTGGAACTCGTTGCCAAGTATTGAGTGCTCATAGACATTTCCTTCTATGTGAAATAAGTCCTATGTTGGATGTAAAGAGACATCTGCAGCCACCACGTGGTAGGGTAGGAGGGTTCAGGGTATGGAGAGCCTCTGACTTTTCTTATTGCTCTCTTCATCTGTTCTATTTGTCTTCTGGTATTTTCGAAGGATGTTCTTTTTGTGTGTACAGCTATTCTCTCCAATTGGTTCTTTTTGCAGCTTATTATCGAGAATATCATCATCATCATTATTATTGAAAGTACAGTGTAACCCGGATATAAGAGATATTTTCTCTGGTCCCAAATTAGAGCCATACTTACCTAAACAAAATAGACCAAACCCGGATATAAGAGAAACCCGGATATAGGAGACTTCTTCTCCGGTCCCGACAACTCTCTTATATCCGGGTTACACTGTATTTCAATTTCTGCTATAGTCACACTACCTATCAAGTCTATGGGAAGACCTGAGGCAGGTAGTGGTGTGTTGTTATGGCTACATTTCATTATTTGTTTTCTTTTTTTTTAACTCCCATAACATCACTAGTGTTACATAGACAAAGTTCTTCTTAGCATGTGGGCTGTACTTATCAAGACAATGTTTTTGTATTTCTCTTAAGCTGGGATTTTCAGGGTTTTTTTTTCAATGTGTTGTTGTGTTCCTTTTTTTATCATTTCAAGTGCACCTATTATGACTGGTACTATTCTTGTTTTCAATTTCCACACTTTTTTCTATTTCAGTTTCCAGGTCTTTGATAGTTTTTAAATTCCTTGGTTGCTATGTTACAGTCTGCTGGACAAGCCATATCAAGTAGTAGGCAAGTTTTTTCTTCTCGGTTTTTGACAATTACGTCCAGCCTACTTGCTTCATTCTTCCTGTCTGTAAAGATGGTTTAACATCTTTACAGACAGAACATGCCATCTTTTATTTCTGTAACCAATGATGGGTGATATTCATACCAGTGTTTGTTAACATCTTTTCCAAAGTGTTTGCGGTTGAAGTATTGCTCCACTCTATCATAACAATTTTTATATTCATTTGATGCAAGTACAAAACATTCTGAGATAAGATAGTCTATGGTTTTCTGATATTTGTCACAGAACCTGCATTTTGAATCCACACGATTATTGCCTGAAAGTTTTTAGTGAAAAGATTGGTCTTGCACTGCAAGGATAAAGCCTTCCATTTCAGCCTTTAATCTAGATGCTTGTATCCATCGATGAGTGTTAACTTTATCAACATCAGCTTTATTAGCACGTTTTGGATATTTGCCATGCAGAGGTTTGCATTGCCAGTGTTGTTTTATCTGTTCAAGTGCTTTATCCATGGCTTACTTTTTCATCATTTTTGCTGCATCAGTTGGTTCTTTGGTTCTGTTTTGGTTTTCTACAGAATCTACTAAATGTAAATCTCATTTGTATTTACAACCTTCTTTAATGATTGAATATTTTTCTTTCTGTTTTTGTGTTATTTGACTAATTGTATCATTCAGTCCTTTGTTGTTTCCATGTATGTTAGTAAGCCAATAGTTGTCTTGTATGACAATTCTAGCTGAATAAGACCTCTTCCACCTTCTTTATGGGGTATGTATAGATGGTTTGCATCAGCCTTTGGATGCTGCCTGTTATGCTTAGAAAGAAGCTTTCTTGTCCATTCATCTGATGTCATTTAGAGTCCAGTTCAAGATGTTGAAACTATATTGAACCACTGAGATGGCAAGGCTATTAATGGCCATAATTCTGTTCTTAATATCAGTCACACCTTTCTATAGTACTCTTTACGCACTATTACTTTCATATTTTTTTTTTTTTATGGTGAATTTCTTTACCCTCATTTATACCAAAGTACTTATAAGCTTCTTCTTGCTCTAAATCTGATTGTTACTCCAGAGTCTAAGCTAATAGAGAGGTTTGTTGTAGTGATTCTCATAAAACTGTGACTTTAGCACATTTATCCAAACCAAATTCCATTCCAATGACATCATTGAAACATTTTACTGCTTTCAGGAGACCTTCTAGCTCACTATCATTCTTTGCATACAACATTGTCATCCATGTAAAATAGATGGCTTATTTTCTTTTGAGATATTTTATAGCCATATTCCGTCTTGTTAAGTTTGCTGGTTAATGCTATTAAGGATATACATATACTTCAGAAATCTTCTCAGTATCAAATGGTACAAAGCAAAAAAAGGCAATGCTACAAATAAATGTTAATGTGTCAAGAAAGCTAAGTATTTTTCTATGTAATTTATTTTGCAGATTTATCACGGGTCCTCCTGATATAAAGGATGAAAGTAACATGGGTAAAGTACCCCATGTCTATTTGAATACAGAAGAAGATAATGAAGAATGCTACCTTCTTGTTTATCGAGCCCTCAGTGCCAGTGTGTGTATGTTTATTAATGGTATGTCTAGGACTATTAGCTTTTTCTTTCATCTTGTTCTTTCATCTTGTTTTCCTTTCCTTGTTACAATTTCCTTGTTATCACTTTTTTCTCTCCTGTGATTCCCCACTGTGGAAGAAAAAATGTTAGCACACGAAAATGGGAGTGGTTTCTTTTGAGAACTTGTACAAATTGCATAACAGTTTAAATCAACAATACCAAGTTAGTCTTCTATTTTAATATTAGAATGTATCAAAAGTTTTTTGTTTCATTTTTAAGCTCCTCTGCGTTTTTTTTTTTTTTTTTTTTTTTTTTTTTTTTGAGGGGGTGCTTGTTTTTTGTTTTTAATGAATGCACAGTGATGTAATGGATAGTGGCTCAGAATGAAAAATCAGAGAGCAGAGTTTCAATTCCTGTTGAGTTTGTTACATTCACTTACATGCAAATACCTTTGGTAAAGCTATGAATCCATCTCTTCTCCCACCAACTACAGGTGAATAGCAGGACAGACTGGGCTCTATAGACTTGGGTGGCAACCAGTCTCTGAGGAGGAGGAGGAAAACTTTGGATTTAAACCAGCCTGTAGAGGGTTGGGCTCTGTTAGTTTATATTGCCCCCTAATGCAGAACATGCATTGCTCCTATGATCCTAATGGTTTATGGAACTTGTGATCACGATGTTTTTTTGAAGCTCCTGTACTTCTCTACTTATGGTATCTTAGCTGATCCTAAATATTCTTAAAAAACTGTTGTGGATTCCGAGATGAAATCTGGTCTCCAATGAATGACAAATGCAGGAATGAAATATAACAAATAAATGTATTTACACAATAATACAATTGGTAATACGGTTAGTAGATCCAGAAACGCGGTTAGTAGCAATAATAATAATATATATACAGTCTGGTAAATCCGGTCTTGAAGTAGGATTTCCTTAGAGTCTACGAGTTCGTTTGTAATTGTGACTTCTACAAGCGTTTATCTCACACTATTACTCTACCTCCAACTCAATCACAATCTCTGCTCTGACTGACTCTGGGTATTTAACAGCAGCAGTCCAAGTACACACTGGTGGAGTCCACTTGCATAAAAAAGGGGTGGACCCCATAACAAAAACTTTGAGTTTTGGTGATTAGGTTTTCTTCTACATTGTGTTTTAAAACATCATAAATGATAACATCCACCTTAATGTGTCAATTTAAATTTTTAAGAATGGATGATCATCAACTACTGGGTTTCATTACAAAGGACAAATTAAAATCCATCCCGGTTATGACGATAAACTACGTCTGACAGCAAGGCCACTGATCAGGAGGTTTTGAGGGGTGTGGAACCACTTCTTAATTGCTGGTGTTCCCAGGTCCACCCTGAACCAAGGTGGTAGCACCTGTTAGAGTCCCAGCTATGAGCAAATAGTTAACCCTTAAACTGGAGTCAAAACACTATGAAAGTGTAAAAATAGGTTTTAATACCAGAAATATTTTTTTGTAAAACATTATTACCATAAGTACATTATTACCAGCAATACATTTTCAAAAAAAATAAATAAATAAATAAAAATATTACCAGCTATGCATTTTTTGAAAAAAATATTTTCAGCGATAGATTTTTGAAGAAACAAAAAATATTTTCAGCAATAGATTTTTGTAGAAAAAATTTTACCAGTAATAAAAAATTTTGTCGGCATTAAATAACCCATATGTTGTAAAACAAACCAAACCATCCTTCAAATGATTAAACCATTTATGGTCAGTATGGCCAGATATTGTTTCAGTTCCTTGTACTTCCCAAACTGTGAAAGCAGCTTCAGTGTCTAGCATACTGAGTTTCTGGTGTCAATTTCAACTGTATTCTGAAGGCCTAGTTTAAAATAATGCCTTTTACTTGCCTCTTCCATTATAATATTTACAATAAAAAGTACATCTGAACAGAGTGCATTCAAATTCGTTAAATATGTACATGAAATAAGTTTTAGAGTAAAAGTCTGTAAGACAAAATTAGTTTTGCAGATTTATTTAGAATGATGATTATTTCTTTATTATTATAAGCATTATTTTTATGGTGTAAACATTTATTATTTTATAAATAATGATTATAGTAATAATGAAATAATACTGAATAGAAAATCTGTTCCAAAATGATGAGTATCTATGAAAAAACCATGTTATTGAAAATGAATAAGTAAATGAAATCCTACTTACCATTTTAAGTAGTTATTATTAATTTATACACTCTCGGTGTGAAAATGGCGTTGTCTTTAATTATCAAGACTTTAGAAAAGATGTTTCCTGTGAAAGGTTATCCTACCTATTTTCCCAAATACTTATATTTACTTGCCACAATTTTTTTGTAAATAAAAATCTGACTGATCTGTATATTCTTATTTAATTATAATCAAAATGAATTATCTCTTTCAGTGAACACTTCTCTTACATTTCCACTTTGCCAAAAACTGGATGAATTTCTTGGGCCAACCTTAACTTCCCTGGCCTCGGATATTGCTGACCAGTATTCCAAAAAGCCTTCAGGGTAAGAATCAACACTTTCAAATTTATTCTGTCCAAAAAGAATTCATTCAAAATAACTGAACATATGTGAGCCACACATTCCTCCACACATTCATTCTTTTTTGAGAGTAGCTAAAGGAACAGTTTGTGTCTCCTGTGGCTGGAAGATGTTGTTTGCATCTATTGTGGCTAAAAGGGTTTGTTTACATCTCTTGTGGTTGGAAGCAGGTGTTTGCATCTCTTGTTGGCTTGACTAAATTGAATGATTTTACCAGTTTATTGCAAACAAATTTAATGATCAAAATAGATCAGCCAAAATATGATAAATAGCAATGAAAAGATGAAGAATTTCCACACAGCTATTAATATTTTGAATAATAAAAAAATACCCATAATTCTCCGGAAAATATTTCTATTCATTTCCTGTGTGATTTGCATAAAATGTTTAGAAAACAGAATTAAGATTAATAAAGACAATAATATTTTTATCTTCCCCAAAATAAACACCAATCCAAATTTTTATCTTGCATCAGAGAAAATAAATTATTTCATTTTTGGTTATTTTATTCATTATACATGTATAAACATACTTTCCCATTTCTTCACACCACTTTCTTCATGAATTAGACATGCATGCAGACATTATGAGACGGACACAAAAAACACCCACTGGAATTCAGAGATACACATGCACACACATTAACAGCACAAGAGATGCATGAGATCTACCTGACCAATGAAAACAAACAGCAGCATAGAATTCAAAATACTGAAACATTTTCCTCATTTCTTAAGAAATTTCTGATGAAACTGTAATTAAAGTGAAAGATTAAATTTATAAATATTTTTCCTCTTTGTTCTTTTCTTAATCCTTCTATCTGATTTAATTCTAATCTTTTCAATTTATTATAAACTTCTTGTTAAACATAGGGCAGCAACCACCCTGGGCGATGATACTGCTGCAGTTTCAAGCCGTAATAGTGTTTTTAATGTTTCTATATTTTGTACTTTCATTTAAGGCCTTAAGCCAATCAGTCACTTGTTCTTGGTCTTCTTTAGTGATGGTCCAAAACAAGTGATGAAGCCAATGGTTTAAAAAATCTTACAATGTTTGAAGTCAATAAATGCCAAGTGATTTGTATTTAGTTTTACAGAGCCTCAATACAAATATGTGTATTTCAACCATATGAACCTGGCACAAAAGACGACTGTACATGTTGACAGTAAAAAGGCATCGACTGTAACCATTCCTCCTGATACACTCAAGTTGCTCAGCGACATCAGTTCAGACTTCTCCAAGTAGGTATCCCATTTCCTCTGCTCAATCGTTTTCAGTTCTTAGAGGATTTACAATGTTTCCAATTGAGTCTAACATAATCAGTGATTCATTTTGTTGATTTTTAATTAGACAAATTCATTTAAGGAATTTGAATAGGCTTTGAAAAAAAAATGTTTTAAAGCTTTTGTATTAATCCAAGACTTGAAAGACCTGTGGAGTTTTTGATGCATTTACAACAAATGAAACTAAAAAAAGAAAAAAGATTACCAATATATATATATATATAAACCTCTACTACTGCCAGTTTCAGCCACTTATACAGTCTTCAGATGGCAAAGGAAAGCACTATACAAATATATATGATAATATATATATATATATATATATATATATATATATATATATATATATATATATATATATATATTTAATAGGCTGGTTAGTAAAATTTGAGGAATAAAAAGCCAACATTGGAACACTTCAACCAACTGTTGCATACTATTGATGACCACAGATGCATGCTTTTAGCATCTTCATTCAACAGCTGACAAAGACGTAGATGGGAGGTGAAATATATTTTAAAAATAAAATCACACATTGAAGGATTAAACAGAGATTTGGGTTTACTGAATGATTAATTTCCAGAGTGCCACTCCTCATTGAAAAGGGGCATAGGTGTGTCTGAAAATTACAACTTTAATATCTTTCTCTTAGTGTGTCAATTTAGTCAAAAGGCTAATAATATTATAAATATCATCAATCTTATTGCCAATATTGTTATCATTTGTTGTTTTTTTATTGCTCAAATTTTATTAACCGGCCTAATAACTCAACATATTATAAGAAGCACACATAGACCATTTTTAATTTTAATTATATATATATATATATATCACTGTATTTGTATATATTTCTTATCTAATTTTAAAACTCTTAACATTCTTTTAACACTTTTTGTCTAATTTTAATACTAAATCTGCACATATATTTGTATATATTTTTGTTTAATTTTTGTTGTGCTGTAGTTATCTTTTTTGCACTGGTGATAAGAGTGCCTTTGTTATGGCAATGGTAGTTTGTTCCAAGATGTTTGTAATGCCAAGAGGTAAAAATTTTGCCTCCATGAAAGAACAGAGTACAGAAATTGGAAAAAAATATGTTTAACAAGTCGCAGGTGAAAATCATTAATAGTACCTGCTCATTTTCCAAATCATTTTTAGTGCTTCAAGAAATAACTTTTTTTCTCAAATTAAATCCATAATTTTAAAAGTAAAGATAACAAACTCAATTATTTCTTTGTAACATTGTAGAATTAGTTTCTTTTATATCATCAATCAGCTAAATGTCATCTCTGTATCCCTCAGTATCATGAAAATATTTTAAAGGAATTTATTCTTATTACTACTGAGGATGTTGAATTTAGTTTCAACAATGTTATGTATAGTCAAATTGATGCTGTTGCAATGGACAGCCCTTTAGGTTCAGCTTTGGCAAATATTTGTGTGGTCTTTTATGAAGAACAGCTTTTAGAAAATGTTCATAGACCTATCCTGCACTATCGGTATGTCTATACGTTTGTTTTGTTTGGTGATGAACAAGAGGTGATCAGTTTCCTTGACCAACTTGAGCTATTGCATCCTTCTTTAAGGTTTACTATGGAGAAGAAAAATGACGTTCTGGACATTCTTATTGAAAGATCTGATAACAAGTTTCTTACAAGTGTATATTGTAAACCAACCTTTTGGGATATGTACACTGATTGGAAATCGTTCATACCAAAATTTGAAAGATCATCTTGATTAATACACTGGTATATTATGCTTTAATGATTTGCTCCCCTGTACGGTTGGAAGAGGGAGTTATGTAAGATAACCATTATCCAGAAGAGGTCCTTACATGGGTCTTTTGCACATAAAATTTCTAAATTTAATTCTTTTCCTGTGCATGATCCTGACAAATGTCCTATTTACGTGAAATTACCTTGGATTGGAAAAAAATATTATTTCCTACATCTGTTATTGGTTCACTAAATTGTGGCTTGTTTTTTTCTACCAGAAGTGTTTTCCTCCTTTTCAGAAGGATAAGGTTCACCCATTTTCGAATAGCTCCGTTGTGTATTATTTTAAATGTCGGCATGATGCTGATTATGTGGGTCAAACCAGTTTACGCCTGGTTACAAGAATCAGCCAGCATGTTCCAGCCTATATAAGACAGGGTGAGTTGCATAGTTCAGCACAGGTGACACAATCAGCTTTGGATTCTGCCATTAGCCAACACTTGATTGACAATCCTGTGGGTTCTGGTCAATAAAGAGAACTGGTTTGACATTTTGCATAGAGTACAGTCTTGGCACTTGCTTAAGATTGTCGAAGCAGTCATGATCAAACTGAGAAGACCAACTCTTTGCTGGTAAAAGGAGAGCTTCATTTGTTTCCTTCTTCTTTTGGCAGAACATTATTTTTTTTATTTATCATTTCCTCTCCTGATCTATTTCTGGTGCTTTTTGAGGTTTTATCAATTTGTTTTTAATTTTACAAATTGAAGTGATTCTTTTAGCTTTGATTAAGACAATTTTATATTTTATTTATGCACCAGTTTTGTTCTGCCATTTAGTTCCTTAAAGTGTATTTCCCACCCTATTTTAGTATTAAGATGTTTACATCAGATCTATTTAAAACAATAATTAAATTTTGTAGTACCAAGTCATTGTTTTTTTATATATATATATATATATATATATATATATAATTTTTGCTTTTTCTTCCAAAATGAAGTTTCAAAAATTCTTGACAGAATTTCCTCCTTGATTGAGAAGGATATTCGTAATTTGGCAAAGATGAATATTAAAATTAATCAACATAAAACATCTGTAATTTCTATAGTATCTAAATACACAGAATATATATATTATATATATATATATATATATATATATATATATATATATATATATATATATATATATATTATCAATGGACTTATCAACATAATTACTGAAACAGTTTTCAATTTTTGTTATAGGTTTAGGTGTTATAAACCAGATGTTTTCATAACCAGAAAGAAATGCTATGCTTATATCTCTTGCAAGACTCTGAGGCAGGCCTCTTAACTCAGAACAATCCCTGTCAAACCAAGACATAAGCTTTATATATCAAAACACTGATACTACAACATTTATCAGCTAATTCTAATTTACCCACTAGGCTCTCAATTTTGATAAGTATGTTAGTCAATTTAATGTTTTGGTTACTTGAGTTTTTAAAGTGAAAATATTCATCTGATGATTACTTAAATGCAATTAAAAATTAAAAAATAAAGAGTTTGCTGAAGAGAAAAAAATATTATTTAAACAAATTCTTTTATTTTCTGTCTTTATTTTCTACAAATGTTTCTTCCCCAGATCTTATTTTTTTCTGTTAAGTAACCATTAGAAATTTCCACTCCACTTGGAATGAGATGCTATAAACTTCCTTGTAAAAAAAAAAAAACGCAAATGAATTCATCTCTTTTCTTTCAGGTGTGAAGAAGATGCTGAGACAATTGTGAAAACGCTGAATGATTCCTGGGTAGTGGGAAAGAAATCTGATCACCGAGAGTTCTATGTTGTCATTAACCAGAAAAATGCCAACTTGATTGAGATCAATGGTATGTTTATTTCTTTCTTTCTAACTTACCTTCTTTTTTTTTCCTGATATCTCCAAATTCTCCAAGGAAATAACTGTTCATGCCTTTCACCAAACAGGTGCCAATATGAGAAGAGAAAAAGAAAGAATCAAACCAGTGTCCTTTGCTCTCTTCAGGTCATTGGAATCACAATATCTGAACATATTTGAATTTTTAAATAATTCTTTCACCAATGTTAATAATTTTAAATATCTTGTTAAGAAGACATCCCTTCTACATTGTACAGTAAGATGATATCATGGTTTTGTTAGCTATATGTAAGAGTGTGTTTGACTGATCCCTATCTATGGTAACAATAGATAGCGACAACAATAATGTTTTTCTTTTTCTCAGATTCTCTAACACTCAGTAACCACTTGTGTCTTAGTGGCTTTATTCCCTTGCTTGGGATGATATGATTTTTTAAAAAATGGCTTTTTTTGTGTTCCAATTATTGAACAGTAAATAGTTGATGTATTTAGCCATTGTTTTCTCAGCAAACTTGGACCTTTGTGCCTGCAACCCCCCCAAAAAAAACAGCATGTCAAAAAGACTGTTTTTCCATTGACACAGCTATTATTTATTTTATCTTCCTTCACTCCTCAGCAATGTTTACTGTTTTAAAATGCATTGATTAGATTTATAATAAATCCATAATATATGAAAGTGAATTTATACTTTTTCTTTGTTCTTGAGAATTGAAAACAAAAATAGTAAACACTTAAATTATTTATTTACACTATTTATTTGAAATTTATAAAATGGTAAATTGGGATTTCCTTATAGTTGCTTCACATATTTTAATAATTTAGTAAATGTTTATAAATTTATAAATAAATTGTTTTTATATTTATTTCTTTATAAATTGGTAAATATAAATGTATTGACTGTAAATAATAACTCATCTCAGAAAGTAAGAGAGAAATCTAGCTATAATTTTAATTTTAAATTTCTGTAATAAATCTATTTTTCTGATGATTATGTCTTCTTTTTGTGTCCATATTTCTTCTTCACAGATGTGATGGAAGAAAGTCTTATTCAAAATGATCTTTGTAAAAAAAAAAAAAAAAATTAATCTTTTTCTTTTCTTTCTTTTTTTTTCTGTTTCTAGAGGAAGTAAAGAAGCTATGCAGTACACATTTCACCAGTGTCTTCTTTTTGGACTGAGAGACCTACTACCCAACCCTGGTTGCTTGCAATCTGTCACCCAATCCTCTGCCGTTCAAGAGGTAACAAGTGGACAACGTCCAGCCTAGGCTTGGGAGATATACTGGACAGCGAGTCTGAGGGAAGAAGACAGATGGAAAAAGTTCCATTTTTATCTTTGGTGTTGGCTGGTTTTACTTAAAGCTGACTTCAGGAAACAAAAGAATCTTTTTTCATATATATTTCTTCAGACAGGATAGATTTGAAAATTGCAACCTCTTTCTACAAGATTTTTTTGTTTTTTTATAACTGCAGAATAAATTTCTTGGAAAGCGGCTTGCAAGCCTCATCTTGGAGAATGCTCAATATCTGGTTCGGTTTGCATTTTTGTTTTTCTTATTAAAAAATAAAATGGCTTCCAGTTCTTGGGTCTAAGTTTATAAAATCCATCATTAAAAAAAATATATAATTTAAATTCTGCAGCATTTTGCCTGTAAATCCTTCTGTGCACACTTTAAAAAATTGTCCTCAGGTTGCAATAAAATCTTGAATTCTTAAAAAATAAACAAAAAAAAAATCATGACCATTCCTGGACATCTTGCTCCCCTTCCACAGTTGAACATTGCCTTTATTTTTTTTATTTTTTTTCTCTCCACCTTTCTAAAATGTCGTCAGGTTCATGAATTTGACAAGATCTTATAGAAGATCAAGTTAAAGAGAAAGATTCCATTTTCTAGACTCGTCAGGTCCAGTCTCTTTAGAGAATCTCTTATGCTGTTAGGCCTTATCTACTGCGAAAGCAAAGTCGAACATTGAAATCAAATTGGGAATAAGGATTCCATTTTTAATTATACCAACCAAATTTGTTGTTAAACTTCAGTGGCTTTTTTTTCTTTTTATTGTTGTTGTCAACTTACACAAGGGAAGGAAAAAAAAAATCAAGTCAATAAAGAGATTTCTACAGAAAATGCTTCTCTTCTTTTTATTTAAATGTTTACTGTAACTCCAGTTTCTGATAAGGATTTTTAAATAGTTGACTTTAGTGAACTACAAAGGGTTGCTTCAAAGTTTTCTGATCCAAAAAGGATAAGAAAAGAGCATTCTGATGTTGGATCTGATTTGGGGGAAATGGGTTGAACCAGGAATTTTTCAGCTATGGCCAGTAATAAAGTCACAGAGGGTGGGGGGAAATTCACAACTTGGTTTTGTGAATGACATGGTTGGTATACATGAACCCATTGTAGCAGATTTTTAAACCATGTTTCATACTGTCAATAATTTCTATGACCAGAGATCCAAAATTTCCACTATTCATGCTGTCTTCAGGGTTAGGGATGCTGACATACTATAGTGAACAAGGTTATATAGTGTACATAGGTCATCTCAACCTGACCTCACACCAAACACCTGTTCAAAAGATTTTACCAGATTAAACAACCTGTAGTCATGGTGACCTCAGCTGACTTACCTTAATCCTTCCAGGTTGAAGATGCTCCATTTACACAAAGATGTTTTTTTTTTCTATGTTACAATTTTTAAGCAAAACTCTAACTCAGTTCTACATATTGCTTAAATGACTGATTGTCATATTAAGCTTAAAAAAAAAGTAAGAATTTGATAGCTAACATTGTGCTGTTACTATTTTTTTTACCTGGATTCTTTTCAGCACTATATTTTTTTTAAAGTGTTTTGACTATAATTTTTTTGCCTTAAGCTGAAAGTTAAATTCTATACTGAAATGACCTCTTAGCCACTTAATTCAGACCTGATACTGGCTGTCTCTTCACGCAACATGAAACTATTTGGTTTTATGGTACAAGCAACAGGAAAGAATCCTTGACTTCCCTTCTTTCAACTGAAATGCTGGTATTGAGATACTATGGGCACCCATAATATAGAAGGTGACTAGGTAGTTTTAGCTTGATCTAAAGTGTTGCTGTTTGATAAACCAGCAGATAGGTCATTTTGAAGTTCAGTTTTCTAAATGGCATCCAATTTAACCAAAGATTAATGGGTAGTAAAGGGGTGGATGAGGAATTTTTGCAGATCAAGTGGCAACAAAACTGGTAATAGTCTATATATGGGTACTGGTTTATATTAAGTCATGCCTGGAATCGTGAGTGCTGACCTGCTCTTGGCAGGAGACGGATGTGTCTGTGTTGCAGTTCTGAGACATCCATTTTCATATTTCCAGCCACCATGTCAGGATGAGTATATGGGTGAGGAGTTGGTAGGGAGGAAGAGCTGATAAAGCAGTTGTTGTTCCACCTATCTATTCACCCAGATGAGCAGACAAAGCCCTCAATAAAATATGTAATATAGTAAACAGGGTTTGTATTCTCATTTTTTGACATGAAGTTTCTTTCATTGTGTTCCCTTGTGAGCATGCAGTACACTCTTCTCCAATTTTTTACAAAAACCAACAAGATCGAGGATTGAAATATGACATGGGGGTAATCATTAGCCAGTCAGTGTAAAGCTGGAGCGAGGTCTCATACATTTAAGTATTATCAAGACATCTGGCAGTGAGACAGTACAGATAGAAGTGGGTTCATGCCTTACTCAAGAACATTAGTGTATATTGAATACACATACCTTCATTCAGCTTGATTTACAGATTCTAATTTTAGCATCTTGCACATTGTATTTAGTTTTTTTTTTTTTTTTAGTCTTGCAGGTAGCTTAGCAGTTATTGGTACAGAAAGTAAGATTGGCTGAAATTTAAACTTGGCTTGCCAATTCTGTTGCTCTCACTTTTGCACAAATACCCTTGCAAAATGTGTAAATCCATCTCTCCTCCCAGCTATGGGTTAAATAGCATGGTAAACTAAACTCTTTAGCTTTGAGTTGCAACCAAAGAGAAGGAAAACTGAATTTCAAACCATGGAGGAGGCAATGGGAAACCACTCCATTACCTTCCGAAGAAGTCATGGCAATTCACAGATAATGAAGAAAAGGAATCACTGGAGAAGGTAACAGAAAACTATTACACTATCTTTCCCAAGAAGTCAGCAATTCATAGAGAAAGAAAAGGAATCTTTGAAGAACCACGATTGCCTACATCCCAAAGGAATATACCATTAAAAAATGGTTGTAATGACTGAATCCTGCCTTATCCCTTAACTGAAACATGCAACTTGGTGATAATATTTCCATTATGTCAATGTTCTTATGTTTAAGCAGCATGATAACACAAACTTTCAAATACTAATTTAGGCAAAGTGCAGTTACTACACTAATTTGAGTTGGAAATGTTTATCCACAAATGTCATCATTCTTGACAATCTGGAGAAAACTACGAAAAAAAAAAACAGTTGAAAATTTTAACAAAATTTACAAGTGTCAGCTGGGAGGTTCATAGGCTAACCAAGATATAGATTTAAGTAGTTACACCAGGTTGGTAGACTAAAATACAAAGCAAGTGTACCAGTATACAGCTGGTTGGTCACCTATTGTATTCTGCTACACTTGCATGTTTGTTAATCTACCAACTGGTGTATCTGTTTACATTTACATCTTGGTCAGCTGATAAAACTTTTCAGATGGCCTATGTATATTTTTCTGTATTAATTTTTTTTTTTCATAAATTGCAAAGATATGACATGTAATTTACATGATTCCCAGTAATATTAATTGTATTTATTCATTTATGTATTTCTATTCACCCCCTCCTCCCAAAAAACTAAACGCTCATGTCTACATTGGGGCATTTTTTTTTTTGTTTTGTTTTTCACAGCCATTGAAAAGACTGAATTTAATTGTAATTCTGCTTTAGTCAGTATTATAAAAAAACATGTAAAATAAAAAAAAATATGGCACCTGAGATATTTACAATTAAAGGAAATCTAATATCCTTTGACACCAAATGTTGCAGATAAACATTTGGTTCAATGAATTACAGAAATGCTTTTGTATTGTTTCCTGATTATCAAACAAAAGGATAGATTACAGAAATGATAAACAAAAGGCCTCTTATCAGCAGAATTTTATTAGATATGTGAGTAATGGTTATCAGGACAGAAAGTGGAATAGACAACCCAAGTTCAAGACTGCTGGGTTCACTTTTACATAAATTCCCTCTTCTCATCCAATTTAGGAGCTAAAGACTAGGCTCTCTGGCCTTGAATAGCAACCATTCCAGAAGAAGAGCTATTCTGAATAACAAAACCATAAAGGCAATGGGGTGAAACCCTGCCACTATCTTTGCCTAGAAGTCATGACAATTCATAAAGTCATAATTGTTAACATCCTGAAGGGACATGGCATTAAAAAAATCAATATAAATTTATTTTTATTCACTTCTTTTACTAAATTTTTTTTTGTGGGGGGGGGGGTACTGGAATGAAATGATATCGAGAAATTTTCAATGAAACAATCAACTACACTACATCTAGTTTATGAAGACTATATAAAACAAATTTGAATTGGGAGAGAAGAGGAAAAAAGTATTTTCACATTAAATTAAAGGTAATCATAATTTCTAGTTTGAGAGAATTATGATTAATGCGCCCATCAGCTAGAAAAATATAGTCAACAATTATGGTTACATTTTATTACGCTTCGGCTTATGGCTTTTTTATTTTTTTAATCATGAGGAGTCAAACCTTCCCAGCTAAGTTTGTTGACTCGTCCTGCTCACTGAGAGAATAAAATTATTTGCAGTTTTGATTCTTTGTTCTTACTAATGTCAGCTAATAATAAAAATCGCTTTCATTTCATTTGTTTTCATAACATTTGTATCAAGTGTTTTGACGCTGTCTTCGTTAGAACGCGTCGCCTATTTCTTCAAGGGGAATAACTCTTACGGAATAAATTTTCTAAGGAGGCTACGAATCGCTATAAAAAAATTTTTTTTTTTTTTTAATCATTTCACTCCAAGCAAGTCGATAAAACCACTACGATGTAAGGAGTTACTGAGTGTGGGAAAAATCTGAAAAAATATTAAGCAGAGAGAACAATAAAAGAACAGGAATTAAGAAGACAGAAGATAACAATTGATATTGCACTTAAATTTTTGAAGT